AATTAGAATCTTTAAACTGAATCACCAGATATCAAAGCGCTCTTTTGTGACTTTTTTTTTCTAATAAAAAGTTATGATTCATTTTGGAAGCGTTCTCCATCCAGGACGTGTTGCATCGATCGGAAAAGATGATATCTGTAGGACATGAGTAGAGTGTGTTCCTTGCAGACAAAGCGTTTTCTAAAAAGCACGCGCCAAAGATAAGCTACCGTAGCCCTATGCTTTACATCAGCAAATTTTTCAAAATGCAAATGTACATTAAAATCTTGCGCTTTTTTTCTATTACTCTTTCCATAACTTTTTGTTTTTTTCTTTTTGTTATTCTAGTCTTCTTGAAAGTCGACGAGCGTAAGAGAGTGCACATCAACAACCCTAAAACAATTTTGTTTAATTTATTTTAAAAAGTCTAAAGAGGAACAAAAAAAATACCTTAAAATGGCCGTCCTCCGCATTTCTTGAAGTCGGACACCACGCGAAAGACTTGATTTTCGTCGCAGCTCATGTCAAAAGTTCGCTAAAACTTACAAATTTTAAAATGCTATGTAAAATTTAAAAAAAAACATATTTAAAACGGAAAATGTTAAGAAACACTATTAAAAAAGTATATTATTTACGAATTTACCAGGCCTATTTTCTACATTTGCACTAGAACTATTCAAAAACAAATTCCACGCCCTAAAAAGCGTAAATCCTCAAATAAAACTATCCATTACTACATTTTAAGGAAATTTTGCACATTTTTTTCGCGCGGCCTTTATAGCTTTGCTTAAAAAGCGCACCTTTTAGAAAACGCGTTGTCGGAGGGTTGTCGGATCAATTGTCTGACAAAAAAGTTGTCAAGGCAGACTTGTCTGACAAATTGTCTGTCAACAAGGAGCACACTCTAGACATGAGACTGAGAACTGAGCTCATGAGAATATGTTGATTGGGATAAGTTCCCAGTTCAACTCGTCGATTGTGGAGCGGCTCAACTTTACCGTTTGTGAACTGGTGTTGTCGTGTTGAAGAATGACTTTTTTCAAATTAGGGCGCTTTTTCTTAATTTTCTCATCGAGTTTTTTTGAGCTGGTCGCTGTATAATCGAGCATTGATTGTCTGTTTATTAAAACTCTCAAGAAATGACACGTAAGAGATTCCACCGATAGCATGTACTTCTTCTGGTGGTGGCGAATCCTTTGCTGGTGTAACTCCAGATCCGACCCATTCTCGTTTTCTCTGGAAGTTTACAGCTTTCACTTCTCATCTCCCATCACTACACACGGCAAGAAAGATTTCTTCTCGTATCTGGAAAGAAGAGCAGTGACAACTGATAACCTCTGCCTATTCATGGAGTCGGTGAGGTTGTGGGGCACCCATTGATCATAAATCGGTTTAAAACCCATATTAAGGAGGTGATTTCAACTTTTACATCAGAGTATCCAACCTCAGCCAGAATTTCACGCAAAGAAATCCGGGGATTTTCGCGAATATTTTGTAGAATATCTGCATTTTCAAGCTCTCTGGGTCTACCCAATCGGTCTTCATTCTCAAGAGAAATGTCCGCATTTCTGAATTTGTGGAGCCAGCGTTTCATTGTTAGCTAATGGAGTCATGACTTAAGCTGCAACCTAATATAATCATTAAATTGATTAGTCCTAATGGTTATTATATAATAAATATAATAAATATTACTAATGTGAACTTAAGCTTAGTGTAAAAAAGTTTTTTTGCCATAATAAATAATAAATTGTGGAAAATCCTAGAAGAACACGTAGTCAGCAGTAAATTTGAGCTTATTTTTGGGGATCCGACGCAATGCGGTGCTTGAAATCGCCATCTTGCATTTGCCATTTACCTTGCCGACTGGTTTGGCTTCTTCCGAATTTGGTCCCTCACTCGCTTGATGTTTGTCTTTGTGACGACATTTGAGTGTCCACCGCTTCTTGGTGGACGCTCAAATGCATCAGCAATTATCCCCGTAGCTTCGTAGCGTTGAATAGTGCGGAAAATGAAACTTCTGTCGACTTTAAGACGCTTATGAATCTCCGGAGACTCCTAGCTTGTGCATCAGCATGATCGATGATGATCGATTGTCATTAGCTGCAGCATGATGATCGATTATCGATGAAGGATTTTCAAGCCATTCTAAAAAACACATTTTATATGAAAAAAGTTTCAATTATATTCCAAATATAATAAAAACACAAAAAAAACAGAAATGAAGTTTAAATAAACGAGTTATTGTCCTGGAACGCGCGTGATACCTTGTTGCGATAATTATGGCGCACCCTGTATATATATGTCGTAGCCGCTAACGAAATTCAGCCGCTAACGAATGATTCGTTAACGGCTGGCCGCTAACGAATGAAATTCGCTAGCCGTTACGAATGATTCGTTAGCGGCAGCCGATACGAATGAAATTTTCACTAGATGTGTACGAAACTTTGTACCCTAAAGTCGCGAGTATAATTTCTGTAATTACATTAAAGGGCCGATGGAAAATTTCTTCTTCTTAATTTATTGTTTTTGTTTTTTCATTTTTATTTGACTAACTTTTTTCATTTATATACGATGAGGAGAAAGCGACACCGCCGAAACGAAGCTCGAAGCGGCAAATTTGCGAGAAAATTGGAACGAACGGCTGCGATCGAATTTGAAGTCGCCGAACAGAGATACCGCTGGAAACAAGCTGAGCCGGCACGATGACTCACCAAAAATAATCGAGCTTCCGAGGATTGAGGGCAAAATGGCCGGAGTGGAGAAAGATCTGAAGGCAGGGTCTGGAGGGCGATTCACCGATGCCATTTCAAGCGCAAGACCTTCCAAAGGAATTCCCGGTGTGATCATCAAAGCTAATCCGACAGGGTGGATGAATTCGGACTTGATCAAGGAGTGGATCGATGAAATTTGGTTGCGAAGGCAAATCCGGTGGCCAAATCCGAAGAACAGTGCCGTGTTGGACTCAGCTCGCTGTCACTAACCGATAATGTCAAGGCGAAACAGCAACCCGAAGCTGGCGTGACCAGGAGGGCAACTCGATTTCACAACCGCTTGACATCAGCGTCAATAAGCCATCTGAAATTGGGTCAATATGTTGCGGTCAATATGTCAATATGTTGCGAACGCGTATCAAATTCTGAAAAAGCGAACGCATACAACGACGAAAAATACGATGAAGTGAACATATTGACAACAATGTCAAACAACATGTTAAAATGTAAATGTTATAAATTATTTCACTCGTTGTGATTAGTTTGCTGATTGCGTTTTGCATAAATAGTTTGAAATCAAAGACTAATTTGATTGGCCATGTTCGCAGAGCCGATTACAAACGTGCACGGCTAGCAAAAATTTCATTCGTAATCGGCTAGCCGATTACGAATGATTCGTCAGCGGCTGCCGTTAACGATGATTCGTCGCGGCTAGCCGTTACGAATGATTCGTCCGGCAGCCGTTAACGAATGATTCGTTAGCGGCTGAATTTCGTTAGCGGCTACGACATATATATTTAAAGAAATAATAAATATAAATAATAATATAACATACTTGAAATATTATAAATAATATTAAAATACTTGAAAATAAATGTGGAAAAAAAGTCGCGGGGGTAAAAAAACATTCCGCCGCCCAGCTAATTTTTTTCTGAGATCTCCGCCCAGATAGCAAGTTTTGTAACGGTGCAGAAGATGAGCCTTGCTTTCGTTGTTTCCATTCAACTCCGCAAACCATCTTATTTGTGAGTTTTGGGCTTCATTGTGGTCCGGCTACGAAAAGTTCCGGATTCTCCACTCGGCTCCCAAATGGAAATAGATTGCTTTCTCATTTCAATCCAAAATTTATCACGTAAAACGCTACTTTCAATTAATCTGACGCAAACAAATGATTTAAAAAGGAAAAATAAACGAAGAGGAAACAAATGTTTTGAATGAACAAATGATTTAAAAACAAAAAAGAAACGACGACGCGGCGCTGCCATCGACTACCTCCAAATGGCGGCGACACCAATTGGAATGCGACGTCGTGCTAAAAGTTAACATTTAACAAGAAGATAAATTAACATTTAAAATTTGCGACACCTTTTCTCTAAGTCATCCTCTATTAAAACAAAAGACCTCGTTTTCTTTAACTATATTTTTTTTTCTTTTACCCAATGCATAATTCCTTGAAGATGCAAAAATTCGAGAGCTCTGCTCTGGGAAATTTCCGTGGCTTTGGATGAGCTACCGTAATCCTTGCTAAAAGTTCTAAAGGAAAAAAAAGTTTTTGTGCCATAGTAAATAATGTGCTCTTGGCAAAAGCAACCGTAATCCATCTAGGCTTGGGCGATGGATTCTTAAAGCACATCCAAGTACGCCGTAGTCCAATCGCCATTTTTTTTTACCCTATTTGGTGTCCATCTTGAAGTAACTTGCAAAAAATAAGCTTTTACGCAAAATGCCCTCAACTGAAATACTTTATTTGAAAAGGAGGCTAAATCTCGATGATCTCTCAACTTGATCACTTGTTGGTTTCGAGAAATGGCTATTTTTAATGATCAGCTGCATCATCCCAATCACTCTATCCGTTTTCTTTAGGCCGCGCGAACGCAGCCCCTCACGCAAAAATTTAGCTGTTAGCGAATCCCAACTCGGGACTGCAACACAGGTCAACCCAGCCTAAAGGGCAATGGCCAAGCCTCGCCATGGGGGTCCCGTCTTCATGATCACGAGAGCCCCCTAGCCAGGTAAGTTTGTGAGGGGAGAATGGGTGTGGTTATGGAAAGAGCGGATGCCAGATGGGATACGATTACGCGGGCATGCAAAGAGCGCACAAAGAGTGCACAAAGAGTGCACAAAGAGCGTGTGAAAGGGAGAGAGATGGTGGAGAGTCTTTTGAATAGAATCCCTAGCCGATTCTTGTCATTTTGCCACTCAACAAACAAAAGAACTTTTATTATACACTAAGTGATCAAAATTGACTCGAAAGCATAAGCCAATAAACATTCGTTTTTAGTTTAAGATATTGATCTTTAATTTTAATTATGCAAAAGTTTGAGTAGCTGCTTTGGTTGAAAAATTTGGATTCAGCGAAAAGACTTGACCGAGTTTCTCTTGAAGCTTTCCAATGTCGACTTCAGTGGCATCTTCTTGTCTCTTCAACACATCCTGATCGTCTTGTGGGATTTCTTGTTGTGGAGCTTGTGCAAGAGCGGCGACACTCTCGGGCACGACTTTGATCTCAAGCAATTTTGCTTCAACACGAGCAGCTTTCTCATCAGCGGCAATCTTCTCGTCAAGTTTTTTCTGTGCCTCGTCAAGAAGTGATTGAGCTCGAACAGTCAAATTGTGGGCATTCTCTTTCTCGGGTTCGACACCCTCAATCTTTGCAGCTTGCTCGTTGAGTTGAGCGAGAGCTGGAAGCACTTGTCCATCGAGTTGAGCAACCACTTGTTTCAGCTCGTCGGTTGTCGGTTCGGCAACAGTTGGCTGTTGTTCTCCTTTGCCTCCTTTCTTGCCCTTCTACTATTTTGCCTAATCAGAAAAAATTCCATAAACTTTCGCAATTCTGGGCGTGGACAATAAAATATCCAACTAATTGCCCGTTCTTTTGACTTCAGACCGTAAAAAAAGCTCTTATCAGATAAACGCAAAAAAGTCAGGACAAAAATGGAAAAGTCTCGTTGTTTCTTTGTCAAAACGGCGAATATGGCTTTTAAATATTTTCTTCTTTTAGCGTTTTTCTTCATTTCAGCTCATGGAACATGTGAGATTTGTAGAATTTTATCGAATTCACCTAGAGATTTAGCTGAACAATTTGCGTGTAATGCACAAGATGTGATCTTCATCTTTGACACGAAAACCTCGCCTCGATCACTCGACGATTGGAGAGCTTTAGCGTAAGTGGATCTTTGAGGGCTTCAAGTGATACCGGTAAGAAATAGGCTTTCCATTTTTGATCTTCCTTTCTTTTCTGTATTCATATCTTCATCGTAACAAAGGAGGTGACATCTAAAAAACATCTAAAAAAAGCAACGACATCTAAAAAAAACTAGTTTAACAGTAACGAATAATAAAAGAGTTCTCTAAAGAATCAAAATAGTTTTTTGGTATGTTAGTAGTTAAATAGTTAGTAGTTTGGATACTTTTTTATGATTTCTAAGTTCTAAACGAAGGATTTAATCAAAGAAGGACAGTTTTCCGTCAGAAGCCAGGTCAAGAGGCTCTTGTGGGCCAGATCTGTTGTCAAGCTGGGTCAGAACAAGACCTGGTTGGAGACCAACAAGACCTTGTGGCACAACTCTGCTACTCCAAAAACAATTCCTTTCTGACGCATTCATCATTTTTCTTACATCAGCATTTGTGTTTCAAGAAAAATGAGTGCTTAAGTGCGTCAGAGACGTTTTTTGAGTGCAAAGTATATCCCAAACAACGTTTTGCTGTACTTAATCTCGTCTACAGGGTTATCCAGGATTACGGGACTAAAGAACTTGAAGATTTAAAGACCAGCTGACATTAAAATGACACAAACTAGCAAAAATTGCTTTGAATACAATAATTTAACATAAAACATTTACTTGGCAGCAACACAGGCCTGCAGGCGTTTTGGGAACACGGTGGCGAAATGATAGGGCGTGTCCAGCTCGTTGCAAGCTTTCTGAAGAGCTTCCTTTAAAGAATCGACTGTTAAATGGGATTTCGAGCATGCTTTGGCTTTCAATACAGAATAATCAAGGGGGTTGAGGTCCGGGTTTGCCTGGTTAAAATCGATAAATTCGGGGAAATTCTCCTTGCACCAATCTAGAACGAGCTTTTTGTACGAGTGCCTCATCCTGTTGAAAGCACCAAATACTGTTTCCAAAATGCTTTTTAGCTTATGTATGTATTTCTTGTTTCAGCATATCCAAATAGAGTAGCATTGCTTGCGAACGTAGCTTTCAAGCGTAGCTGATCTCGAACCTTCTTGGTGACAAAACACCGACAAACTTTACCGACAAAAGGGGCTTTAATACCACAGGACGATCAGAATTCAGGATGATCAGAATCAGAATAACTCTTGAAAGCGTTTGCTTGCGTTAGAAACAAGTTGTTTGTGTATGATCAATCGCTTAGAGATATCCATCGCCAAAATGCTTGTGTAAGTCGATGATCGCATCTCGATATCTTGGCCATTCTAAAAAGACATTTTTGTCAAAAAATAGTAATTAAATAGTTAAATAAATCAAATAAATCAAAAGAAAGACAAAAATAATATATAAATTTTAAGCAAAAATATACAATATCAAAGATCGCTCTAGTCCTTACAACCCTGTCTAGTTACTCTTTTTCAGTGGCGACTTCTTGGACAAGTTCAACATGCGCGCTGATGGGACGTCGATTTATGCTCGCTTTGCCGGTGACTTCTTTGAGTTTTTAGTTTTTAGTTTGAAGTTTTTGTTTAGCTATTCAATTCGGATGGGATACGGCTCACCCATCAACCAGCTGGTACACCTCACCATTTCCTTCACAGGATAATGCTTCGGTAAATGGAAATTGAAAGGAAATGCTTTAGTTAGTTTAAAATGTAACTTCAAACTAACTAAAGCAAAAAACGAGTCCTTAAAATTTTAAGCATATCATTTGTGAGGTTCGCCTTTTTTCAGATCGTTTTCCGTTTCGACGACTACTATGCGCGTAGCGACGTAAAACGAGTGATTGACGCCAATGTGGATGAAAATTTGGCTCCGAACACCGCTATTGGAGGGTTAGCGAATAGAAAACGCTGGTTCTCGAAACTTTTGCTTTTGCGAAAGACTCTTAAATTTTTGATAGCACTGTATTTGACTTAGAATTGTTAATATTTAGAAAATATTGGGTTAGTGAATTGAAAACTGAAAAGAAAGAAAAAGACAAAGACAAAGAAGCTTGACACTTTTCTCTTTCGAAAGAAAAGAAAGTGCCAAGCTTTTCTAAGCGATACCATCGAAAGGAGTTGAGAAAAGAGAATAGATTCAAGTTTGAAACGATTTGAAATATTGGGTTAGTGAATTGAAAACTGCGGGGCTTTGAACTAAAATTTATTCAACATAAAACCATCAATTCATTCCAAATAATTTTCATTATTATTGACGACTTCTGCCCATTTTACAGACAATTTGCGGATTCCTCTTTCGTAGTAGGATTTTGGTTTGTGTGTGAGACAAGCGTGAGACTCAAAAACGGAGGACTGGAGATGTCGAGATGTTCCAGTTTGAGCATTTGAGCACTTTCTTCAAAAGAAACCCATTTTGGTGTCAATGGAAAAGTTGTAGAGAATCAAAAATTAGGCTTACAGCCAAATTTCCAAAAAGATACACTTAGTAGTTTCGCTTAAAATGCAAGTTTTGTTGCAAGTTTTGTGAAAATTCGTAAATTTGGCATTTCTTGAAAAGCAGTTTTTGAATCATTCTGAAAATTTGAATATAAGCTTGATTTTTGATTCTCTACAACTTTTCCATTGACACCAAAATGGATTTCTTTTGAAGAAAGTGCTCAAACTGTCACATATGACAATAGCCCGCAGCTTTCAATTCATCAACCCAGTATTTACTAGCCTTTAGTCCATCAGGTATATGTTAAAACCAAAATATCCGGGATAGACCAAGAAGCGAAGCCTGGTCTGGTGGGCAGAACGAAATCAGAGTTTACCTCGTTATATTTTGAACGTCGATCACCAAAAGGCACTTGGAATCCACTATGTTATTTGCTTTTAACAAATTCGACGATATTTCGAGCGTACTCGTTACTGTTTTACTGATAATTTGGCGAAAATTCAAAGATAAACTAAACTATTATGGTCATTCGATAGCCCTGAGTCTCCCCTTGAAAACTAGTACAAAGTTATTGAGAACTTTTTGCTGAAGCTGAAAAAAAACGATTAATCATAAAATCTACGCTTAATTCTACATAGAATAGAAGAACCGTAACATTTTTAAATGAATTTGTCTTTTTAAATGAATTTTTAAATGACTTAAATGACGATCCGAGCATTACAAAAATCCTATGCGGTACAATACTGAAAAATCGTTAAATTCGAGTTTACGGTTTCTAAAAAATCGTTTTTTTTTTTTGCATTAATACGTTTTTAGAGTTAAAAGTAAATGCTTTTTGTGCTCTATTATTGCAAACGCAAGATTATCTTGGCTAACAAAAATCGGCAAATCTCATTTGGCATTTTGGCAAATCAAATTTTTTCGAGAGCAGCAATCATGTCATGTTTAGAGCATCTTTAAAGCAGCAATCATGTCATGTTTAAAGCATCTTTAAAGCAGCAATCATGAGTTTGGGGTGCGACCCGCTTTAACCTTATCATCGAGGATGATTCTGCTAAGAATGGCCGATTAGCACAAAAGGTTAAAAGGGTTTCCCCAAAGCACTTACAACATAACAAGAACGTGCAGCATCCAACACAAGATTAATACTCGTCGGTGGCGGCACAAATGTTAATAAGCTCTTTCTACAATGTTAAACCAGTTATCTAAACAGGATTTAAAACCTGAAGGGTAGCAGAAAGTAAGTTGAATTTATAATTTTACTATTTATTAGTACAAAACCAAAATGCAACAATACCCATTACAAAAACATCATGCGCATCAATAGAAACAACCAAGTCCCCCCCCTCAGAAAGAAGGCAAAAAGCAACCCGCAGTGCAAAAAAAATAACTTCGGGAAGGGAGAAAAGACGAAAAATGCGACACGAATAATTGCAAAATAGGGACGCAAATAGGAAGGAAACGGACGCGACCCATGTCATGTTTAGAGCAGCAATCATATCATGTTTAAAGCATGTTTAAAGCAGCAATCAAGCAATCAAAGACTTATGTAAAATGAATGAGGTTTTAGATCCTTACACAAATAAATCTAGTGAAAAAATTGTCCGTGGATTTAAAATATCTAAACGAGAACTTATTAACTCATTTGGTTTTTGAGAAAATCATACTTTTTTAGAGCGCAAGACTATACATGTTGACAATTTTTCTTGTCTTTAGAGCTCTCGTCGACGCGACAAACATCTTCACGAATCAACTCCAGAACAATCGAACCCCCGTGATCATTCTTTTCACCAATGGGCTGTGAGTGAATCCTTTGGATCTTTAAACCATTAAATGTTTGAACCAAACCAAACCAAACCAAACCAAACCAAACCAAACCAAACCAAACCAAACCAACTCCAGTCTCGATCGTAAATCTTGTTCAGAGTTCTATATAAAGCTCCTTTTCTCGATATTTTTACAAGTAAGCGCTTAATCTAATCACTATATAGTAGAATTTTATGAGGAATCGAATGAAACTAACCGCAAGTTGCTTGGACGTCTGTAGGTCGAGATCTAGAACTAAGTCTAAGCGCGGCCCTTTCCAAAGCCTCGATTTTGAGGGGTCGAGATCTAAAACTCCGGCCAAAAGGCCAACAGGCCTACAGAGGCCGGAGTTTTAGATCTCAACCTACAGGCTACAGCGGACTTGCGGATGGAACACTTTAGTTTACACTTTAGTTTTACACTTCACTATCAAATTCAAAATTTTATTTAGTGCCGGGGAAACCGATCAAAGTGAGGCGCTTTCGCAAGCCTCGATTTTGAGGGGTTTACTTCAAGTCGACATTTGGTACGGTTTTGAAACTTCTTCACACAAATTCATTTTTGGTGTTTTGGCCACTGAGACAGGCATTCCTCTTTTTTTGCTTATATAAGATAAAATGTGTGCACTAGACTTGGGTTTCGCTTCGGTTTCGGTTCGGATTTTCGGATTCAACCGAACCAAACCGAAATTCTCAGATTTTCGGATGTTCGGATTGAATTTTTTTTTGATTTCGGGTCGAGGCCAAATTTCTTTTCTCATTTATTTTCAAATGCAAATTTTGTACGCAGATTTTGTACGCAAATTTTCGATTTCAAGCGTACAGTACTCGACAATGAAATATGATATTTGAAAAACGATCGTCACTTTTGCGCGTCTGTAACTCCCTTGTCTTTACCGTATTTCTAAATATTAATACTACCGTTGTGTAGCCCTTGAAAAGAGCTTTCAGAAAATGTATAACACTAATAGTTTAAACGCGAAGACAAGGGAGTTACAGACGCGCGAAAGTGACGATCGTTTTTCAAATATCATATTTCATTGTCCAGTACTGTACCTCTTCCCTCCAAACTACCGTAATCTCGTCTTTTTTATCGACTTTTTTCTGTCTTGGTTCAAAAAGAATTCGAAAGATACAAAAAGTAGATTTGTCGAGTACTGTAAGGTAAAAATTGTTTCTTTTTTTCAGCATCTTTTCAGCTTTCTAAAACAATGCATTGTTTCAGAAATTCATTTAAAAATGTTACGGTTTCATCAAAATCATAAAATCTACGCTTAATTCTACATATTCGATGTATTAGGTTGATGCATAAGTCTTTTCGTTCCTTTTCGTCTGCCGTTTCAAGCCAACAAATGCACGAATTAAACTACGGTTGATTTCATTAGAAAAACCAATTATTTTTCTGCAAAATAACATTAAAACGGGTTTAAAAATATTTAATGCCTGGATTTTCTTGAGAGTATGAAGTCGGGTAGTCAAAAAGGGCTAACTCGATGATGCGGTTTAGACACCTTAGCTAAAGAAAACCTATCTTCGTGTCAATAGATAAAAGATAGAGAAAAAAAACGTTTGATATTTCGCCAAAATTTCAGAGAAATTCATTCAGCCAATTTTTCCGTAGAGTTTTTTATAGATTTTTACGAAAAAGGCGTTTTTCACTCTCGAATTTGCTTGAAAGTCAACCGAAATTCATTTAAAAAGATGCAAATTCAACAAAAAAACACTTTTTTTTATAGAGCAAACTATAGATTAATTGGTGAATTTGTTACTTTTTAACAGAAGTACGAAAAAAACGAAAAGAATCAACTTAATAGAATTAAGCGTAGATTTAATGATTAATTGTTTTCTTTCAGCTTAGATTAATGTATTGTTTTAGAAAGCTGAAAAGATGCTGAAAAGAAGAGACAATTTTTACCCTACAGTACTCGACAATGAAATATGATATTTGAAAAACGATCGTCACTTTCGCGCGTCTGTAACTCCCTTGTCTTCGCGTTTAAACTATTAGTGTTATACATTTTCTGAAAGCTCTTTTCAAGGGCTACACAACGGTAGTATTAATATTTAGAAATACGGTAAAGACAAGGGAGTTAAAGGCGCGCAAAAGTGACGATCGTTTTTCAAATATCATATTTCATTGTCCAGTAGTGTACATTCAAATTTCTCTACAACAGATATCCAGTTCGATAGTTTTATTGATACTTAGAGAGAAAACAATTTCAATAAAGTGTGCTGCAAAATTAGTTGCAAAACTGAATTCATTGAAATTTTCGGATTTTCGGCTTGAACTGAGCTGAACCGAACTGAAATTTGCGAACTTTTTGTTTGAACCGAACCGAACCGAACCGAACCGAAAAAAAGCGATCCGAAACCCATGTCTAGTGTGCACCCGGTGGTGAGAAATCAGCCATTAATTTTTGGAACTTGTAACGAAAATATTTGTCGTTTCTTTTTGTTGCCATTGGCAATTGAAGGTTTTTCCTATTTTTCTCAGCACCAACCCTTTGATTTTGACTATTTTGAATATCACTCGATGCAGAATAAAATTGCGCATCGAATGATATCAAAATCACCTCAAAATATAATATCCATGCAAAGTTGTTGGCTAAAAACCTAAACCCTGCCCATTATGGGCGGGACCTAACCTTTTGTCTCACAAATTTTGCATGGATATTATATTTTTAGTTGTTTTTGGTGTCATTCGACGCGCAACTTTATTCTGCATCGAATCATAGTCAAAATAGTCAAAATCAAAGGATTGGTGCTGAGAAAAACACGAAAAACTTTAAATTGTCGGGAAAAAGGATAGACAGATGTTTTTGTTACAAGTTTGGTGTTAATCTTTCCAAGCAAATTTTCAGGGTTGTACTTGCTCAGGATGTAACGTCTTCGCCCGACTACTTTGGCCTTCAACTCACCGGGAACAAAACTAATCAACTCTTTAACTCGACGAGTGACGCCTATAGCACTGATGGTATCTTTTCGGCGTTCGGCAAAAAGTACCCGTGTGCGGTGAGTGATCATTGGACATTAGATCATTGAACATTAGATCATTGGACATTAGATCATTAGACAGACAGACAGAACAGTTCAGATCAAGCCTAGAACAAGACTTTGGACTAGACATTACTACTAGACGGATTACGGTGAAGGGGGCATACCTTAGAGTGACTTTTGCATATTGTTTTATGCATCTAGCTTTAATAACATGCCCAAATTTAGACCCCAACTTCTCCACCGGTGACCGAGGTGTGCCCTTGCACGATCAACAAATCGTGGAACGATGTGATGATTTTGGCGGACGGAAGCGATAATATGGGGAACGATCGTTTCACACAGGTGACTCACAGCTTTTTTTTAAAAAAAGTGTACTTTAAAAATGCATAGGAAATGCACTGCTTTGAACAGAAAGAAGCACCGCTTCGCCACCCATTCTAGAGAAATTTAATTAAAACTCTTGCAAGTTAAAAAGAAAAGAAAATAAACAATGGATTAAAAAATGACGAACAAGATACAAATGCCACTTGGACGGGCAAATATCGCGCAATAATTTTTGTGTTTGGTTGCAAAATAGAAAACACGGCTTTCGTTAACAGAAAGCACTGCAAAATCGAAAACAGAGCTTTCATTTGTATTTTGTAAATTGCCGATGTAAAATGTTAATTTATTCTGGAAGCCCGATTGATCGGATCGGATCCGATTGGGCTAGCCCGCTCCGATCCGATTAGGCTAGCCCGCTCCGATCCGATTGAGCTAGTCCGCTCTGATCCGATTGGGCTAGCCCGCTCCGATCCGATTGGGCTAGCCCGCTCCGATCTGATTGGGCTAGCCCGCTCCGATCCGATTGAGCTAGTCCGCTCTGATCCGATTGGGCTAGCCCGCTCCGATCCGATTGGGCTAGCCCGCTCCGATCTGATTGGGCTAGCCCGCTCCGATCTGATTGGGCTAGCCCGCTCTGATCCGATTGGACTAGCCCGCTCCGATCCGATTGGGCTAGTCCGCTCCGATCCGATCCGATCCTATCCGATAACCATGTCAACTTATGTTTCAGATGTGGGGTTTCATTGTATCAGCGCTGGGCGAAGCGACTATCGGACAGCAGATCGCCTATCAAACGAGAGTCGGTGTGGTGGTGTACGGGAATAATGTGAGTTGTGAGCGGTAGTTATTTCGCTTTTTTACAAGGGAAAGTCACAAAGCTGAGGTGGCCAAATGAAATGAGCCATACGACGCAGAATTTTACGCTATTTCCGATGCTGCTATCCGTTTTTGTTTTCAAACGCCCGCCGAGTTTGTTTTAAAGATGAGAAACTCTGTCAGGCCATGAATTGTGGAAAATTAGCTTTTATGTTTTCAAAATTTTCTTTTGATAATAAAATATAGCTGAAATTTAACATGGTACAATCACTAAAAGTCGATTTTTAAAAAATTTGTCGAAGGGATTTCAAAAATTCTTTTATTTCCGGATTCAGCACATTTTTCTGCGTCGAATGGCGCAATTCAAAAGTAAAAATCCTATAGAAAACACATTTTTGCGTGGATTCTTCGGATATTTTCGGATTGAAAGGCCTTGGACGGACGAGATTGTAAATACCCATAACTTGATAATATAAAAGCAAAACTTTAGGTGAGTTGTGTTAAAAAAAGTTTTCACAAAGATCAAGCTATAAAGAAGATTCCAAAGTTTACCTGTGAATCGTTTTGCGGTAGATCGTATCGGTGTTAAAACTAGAGTGTGTTCCTCGCGAGTAATGCCTTTTTTAAAAGGAACGCCAGAAAAATTACTGTACTTTTAGCGAAATTATTGCAAAAAAATTGGAGCAAAAATCACGAGCGCCGCCTTATATACGACTCCTTTTAAAGATATTCAACCGTTTAACTGATTTGGTGGCAGATTGCCTTCACAAGTAAAGACATTCAATTGACTCGACGTGTAAAAAGAAGTTACTCGTAGTTACTCGACCAAAAAGCGCCGATTAATCGAGTAAAGATTACCTAGGCAAATTTTACTCGAGTAATTACTTACTCGCGATGAACACACTCTAGTTAAAACGTTCTAGGCAACTCTATTCGCTCCTCTCAACAAATATCAGTCAACGGATCAGTTCCTCTCAGAAATGTGGCCATTCAAGAACGAACAAGGCACGAATATTCTGGCGTACGTTGGGCTTTCTAAATATCAAATTGAAAATCCAAATCGAAAATCTTTAGTGCTGTACTACTAGCTGTGGACGAATTCAAAAGAACCGGGCGTCCAAAGTCGAGAAAAGTGATGATCATAGGCGCAAGCACGTACAGGTAAACGTGTGTAATGTTATGTCATGATAAACGCACGCATTTTGCTACACCTTGTAACAGGGTGCGGCAGGATTACCCGAACTCGTACTTTAAACTACTTTAGAGTCTCATCCGGCACTAAATGAGTTAAACTGTTTAATTCTTGTTGCTAATACAATTTGATACTTCTTAAGATCGTGAGAAACTTATTCGATAACACGAAATACTCTCTAAAAATATTAGACAGCCTTCGAAGTTTTGTCAGCCAAAGCTTCCCAGCCGAATGGTTAGCTTTTTAGCAACTAATTATCAAAGAAATTTTGACAAAGATGTTTTTACTTTGATTTGGTTACATAGTGGTCCACAGTGGTCCACAAAAGTATTAGGGTGGTGCAAAAGAAACTGCCGATGGGTATCAGCTCTCATTTTTCAGAAACGAGCGATGCTAACAGCATTATTTTTTTATGTTTTGTTCGCATATTTGTTTGCTATTTATTTCGACATTTGAATTTTTTGGTTTTTGTTTATTTTATTTAAAAATGCTTATATTTTTTTATTTAGATCATTGTTGAGCAAAAGTTTGTGCCACGAGCAGCATTACTGTTTAACTTCAAAATTGGAAATTCTGTTGCCGAATCGCATCGTTGTCTCGCAAGGAACCAAAAGAGAAAAGAGGACCAAATTTGTAGAGAAAAGGAACCAAGTCTGCTGCCGAATCGCATCGTTCTCTCTGTGCTGCTTTCGGAGATGGCAGTTTGTCTCTCAGGCAGTGTCAGACTTGGTTTCAACGATTCCAAGAGGGAGACGAGACTTTGGAAGATTACGAGCACGGTTCGAGGCCAGAAGTCGTGAACGAAGCCAAGCTGAGGGACGTTATTCAGGCCGATCCATGCCAACCTGCTCGAGATCTTGCGAAAGTATTCCATTGTGATCATGTCACCATCGAACGCCATCTTTTTTTTTTAATTTACCGTCAAATCGGCAATTCCTTTTGCACCACCTATTGTCCCATCGCCATCCAAAAGTTTCTTTCGTACGAAAATCTTGCAAAAAAATGAGATTCCCAAAAAGTGTAGAGCTTTTTTGTTTACCCATAATACTCTACTTCCCAAGCTTATAAGATTTATCCGTATAAATTGCATAAAAATTAAAGTATAAAACAGAAACAATAAGTTACTTAACAAATAGCTTCACAAAAGTAATGTCCCATTTGCAAAGAATTAACAATCTTTTCAAAAAAATCATTGTTTGGTTGGTCCTCCTTTTGCTTTTATCTTGATTGAGTCGATCCGGCATGAAATCCACGAGATTTTTCAAAAGACTTGGGCGGATGGTGGCCCGATGAATGATTGTTGAAAAGACGTTGAATGTGAACCCATAAGGCGGCCGTCGAATCGAATTTCTTTCCCTTGAGACGCTCCTTCACAAATGACCACAAATGTCCAATTGGGTTGAGATCCGGTGAGTAGGGAGGTGGATTGATCAATTTAACACGATTTGCCGTAAACCATTCGGGCAGACGAGCTCTGGTACCATTTCGAAGTGTCACCAACCGTCCCATCATCAGATCTTGACTTGTGTTTCGGGTCGTTGTCCTGGTAAAGCATCCATCCGGGAGGCATCGTTTGATTGCCAAAGGGAAGCATTTGGGTCTCCATAATATCCTTGCAAGCCACAGCATCCATCGTCGAGTTCACGTAGACTAACGGACCTACGGAAGTTCGAGACATCGCTCCTAAAGAAAAAAGTTTAGATAACAAAATGCTAAAAAGGTTCTTACCCCAACACATTATGTTTCCGCTGTTAAATTTTACGGTAAGCCGAATGTACTTGAGTGCGTATCGCTTTCCAGTCGGTCGCCGAATATTCTTGTAAGCCACAGCATCCATCGTCAATTTCACAAATTTTGTTTGAGTCCATTGGAGGTGAGAAAGTTAGGTGACAAACACTTTTCAGACGTTACAAAAATCGTTTTTTTCACTAGAAACCCTATAGATTTCAATAATTTTAACATTCTAAATAGCTTTCTTAAAAATAATTTGACAAAATTTTCTTTTATCTAGGAATCAAGGGTTATTTTCTTCTTTGAGTTTGGGTGATCCTGCCGCACTGTGTATGCTTAAAAGCATCATAAAACTTGGTCTTATTTTATTATATTTTAGAGAAGGTTCTTATAAACTTCCATTGAATGACATTGAGACGTTTCAGCGGAATCAAGGAGTTGTGATTGTTATCGGTGAGAAAAAAAAACGAATAGAAGAAAAAGAAGCTTAAACTTCGCTGAGAAAAATTGAAAGCTGAGGACTGAAAGCTGAGAAATGAAAGCTGAGAACTGAGAACTGAGAACTGAGAACTTGAATTCAACCTTAAAACTGTAATAATTGTTATACTATTGTAAGTAATTGTAAAAAAAATGAAATAGAATTAAATCCAATGAACGAGGAACAGAAAGAAAGGCTGAAAGAATGACTGAGAGAGTTCATTTATTTCAAAAACCATTCAAAGTTTCAACTACTGCTAACCATTGAAAAAATCGTTTGATTTAAAACCCTTTCTAGGTTTCTATCAAACAAATATTCTATCTTTAAAGAAAGCCAGACAGACCTAGAAATAATTGTCTTAGATGACGGTAATGCGAATGGTCAGGGTTCCGATCTTCTCCAACAAATGGCTTCAAAGGGTTTCTACATTGACGCCACACAAGGAGCACCCGACTTCGTCGTTTTGCAGAAACTTCTTTGCAATGGTAGAGCTTAACAAATTCCCCAACGATACTTAACGCAATTTTCGTCGTGAATATTTTCCTATCGAATAATGTCATTAAGCATTATTTTCTGTTATTTTCTGTATTTTTTTCGAATAAGCATTATTTTCTGTTACTTTAGCCAATTGTTTCTGTCCGGGACAGGGTCAAGATGATGGGTACTATCCAGTGAGCGAAGATAATCAAGCCTGGCCGTCGGGTGGATGCTTTTGGGTGAGCATCATTTTGGTTTTAATCGCTGACTATCGAGAACGGGATTTCTTTGTGATTTGGAGAGATTTCTGTTATTTATATTATGTTTTTTTACTATTCTTTAACACAATAACTTAATAGAATTCAGAAATTCTAGCAAAAAACAGCCAAACTTCAGACAAAAATTGATCCCAAAGATTTGGGCATAGTGATGGCGTAAAAATGGGCACCTGCTCACGTTCTCAGGTGGCTCAGATGTGAAAAAAAGGAAACCTTCTATACCCGATGGGTATGCCAGATGGCGAGCGATTGCGTGGCCGCACAAAGAATCCCTTGCCCGCCATTTGCCGGGGGTTTTTCTTTAGCTTTCTTGATGATACAAAAAGAGATTCAGCTGTGAATTTGTACCCTGGGGTTTTCGGGGACGGCGAATCGATTGGAAGATTTGAATAAGTATGGCTACTCATTCAATACCTAGATAAATGCAATTAAAGCTTACCTTTTCTGTAGGGATCTACCTGGTTCCAATGACCCAAACAATCACCGTATCTTTGCCATATTTAGCTAAAGTTTAAAGCTAAAGCTAAAGCTTAGGCTTAAGCTTAGGCTTAAGCTGAAAATCTTCTAAAAAGACCTTTTTTTTAAGTACAAATGACCGAATTCTGAGGAGGTTTTTGAGTAGAAGTTGAATGAAATCCTTTGCTTTTCATAGAACCAGTTCACTTCCAAATGCCAGACTTTCCTTTTTCTAAAAGATGACCTATTTTTGGGTGTCTTTGTAGATGATGCAAAAAGAAATTCAGCTGTGAATTTGTACCCTGGGGTTTTCGGGGACGGCGAATCGATTGTCGGTATTCATTTTATCAATTCTACCAAGTAGAACTCGGATTTAATTGGTCTGTTACTTTGGATTTAATTGGTCGAAACTGTTAGATGAATTCGGAAATCCGCTTTTTTTTTTCAGTTTCTCTGAGAGCTCAGAAAGGATATCGCAAAGATATAAAAGTCGATTTATTAGATTAAAAAAGTAGAGACAAGATTACGGTGATCGAGAAAATTTTAGTTTGATCGAGAAACGTTTTAGGAAACGGAGAATTTTCAGGACTCCACGTTGACGTCAATCAAAACGGTGGCTGACACGATTTGCCGTAACACACAAGCGGCCAACGGATCGCTTGGACAACCGAAAACCCAGCTTCAGCAACGAACAGTCATTCAATGTTTGCATAGTTTATGTAAAAATAGACTAGATACATATATTTAAAACTTTAAATTTAAATTTTCAACTTTAGTTAACACAAACGTCTCCCCAGCGAAACCTCCATTCTTTATTGGGCTCACCCGACAAAGCGGGAATTGGATTTGGGCCGATGGGAGCTATTACGATGCAAATGTTGTAAGTTACTGTAATCTTTCCAATACAAAGCAATTCCCGTCTCATTTGTCATTGATTATCAGCCAATGCTTTTACTTTGAGTGTGGAATAGACAAGCTAGATCGAGGCTAATTAGCTGACGTAAAGTTATTCAGTTAATACCTACCGTAAATACTGTAATAGTGCCCCATCCCCCTCGTACAGTCGCGTAGTCGCAAAAGTTTTTTAGTATTTCATTGTTTTTCAAAGCGCCCGTACTTTGAAAAAATGCGTTTTTGGTATCAAAAATAGCTGAAATTCAGGGCTATTTTTTGATACCTAAGCGCGCATTGTAACATAAACCAGTGTCGAGAAAAACTCCTTCAAAGCTAGACTACGCAACACTTCGCACCGTCATTATGGCGGTGGGGTGCTATTACAGTATTTACGGTACCTTGACTCCAACTGGCCTGGGTGTAGAGGCAGAAACCTGTCTTCTCCGAGTTCGATCCCGACTTTGGATTTTTCTATTTCGACTTTGGAGCTTAAGTGCTGACTAGTGTTCTTTGTGCGTTCCATCTTTGTGCATAATCGCGTTTCATCTGGTACACCGCTTTCTATATATAAGGTAATGCTGATCAATCAATCGCTTTCCATAAGGTCATGTTGATCCAGGCGCCATCAACTGTTCAGTTTCCACGGGAAGAGGCTTTTTCGTCAGTTCTCACGGCGAGAGGCTTTTTCATCAGTTCCTAACGAGACTTTAAACACTTATAACTCCTGGCAGATTGTCATTTAGCAAAAACGGAATACACATTCGGAATCAGCATAAAATTCTGCGTTGAATGGTATAGATTGTATAGCATTTGGCTCAGCCAGTCAATATTTTAGCTGATTGAGAAAAGTACTAGAACCCAAATTTGCATACGAACACCATTTCCGTACCGTATTCTTCCAATATTCGCCCATTTCTGTCTCATTTTCCAATCTCTTTCCTCCATTCTTTTTCGTGGCCTATCTACAGTCTACAAAATTTTTAAAAGAGCTTAAATGGATATTTTATCGTTTTTTTTCCGCTTTTGACGTGATTAAGTTTTTTCTTTGTATCTATTTAAAGAATTCTATAGTCTAAAGTCTATAGTCTATAGTCTATAGTCTAAAGTCTATAGACTATAGACTGTAGACTATAGACTGTAGACTTTAAACTCTACAGTCTATAGTCTATAGTCTATAGTCTATAGTCTATAGTCTATAGTCTATAGTCTATAGTCTATAGTCTATAGTCTATAGTCTATAGTCTATAGTCTATAGTCTATATTTTATAGTCTAAAAAAATGCTTTAGATTTTTCATAGACAAGAGTTGCTAAATTCAAAAATTTCTTTCCTTTTAGAGTGGTGAAATCATCGATAAGGGTGGCGATTGCGCGGTGGTGCAACAACAAAGCGGTTTGTTTGATTGATCGATTGATTGGGGCTTCTCTCTTTAAAGTGTTCAGCATAAAATCGTTGATATTTTACTAATTTTATAGATTTTATAGATTTTAGAACATAAACTCAATGTTTAGGATTCAATGTGAACATCACGAGTCAAGGCTGCACGGCTGGGGCTTATTACACGTGCCAAACGAGACCTTGCACCACGGATTTTTATTGTGTCTGAAAATTGTTAACGAGAAATGCTAGTTAAATGCTAAATAAATGAATGAATAAATGAAGAAAAGAAATTGCAAATTGTCAAATTAGATGGGAATTCTATAAAGAAAAAACGAAATTGCAAATTTAAGAAATTAGATGGAAATTCTATTAGGTTGAGGAAAAAGTAATGTCGGTTTTTGTCACAAAACTGTTTATTGATAAAAACATAAATAAACGCACACCAATGAATGATATATTCTCCATTATTATTGATGATTTGTTCCCATCTTCGTCACAAGTTCCTGGTCCCATCCTCATCCAGTGGTCCTCAAAAAAATGGGGAGTTTTCGAGCCAAAATAAGTGTCGACTGCTTTTTTTGATGTGTGCATGATTCTCGAACTTTTCTCCCATAAGAAAACTCTTTAACGACCGAAACAACAAATATGGGGCCAGGTCCGGACATCTAATGGGGCCAGGTCCGGATACCTGATGGGGCCAGGTCCGGACACCTGATGGGGCCAGGTCCGGTGCGTGGGGCAGAAGTTTCCAACCAAGCTCGTCGATTTTTTAGTGAGTGAATTTTGCAGTGTGAGGTTTTGCATTATAATGCAAAAATAGCAATTCTGATGTTTAAACGCCCTTTCTTTAAAGCCTCGTTAACTCCTATCAACTGTTTCGAATAAAAATCAGCGGTGACAATTTCTCCCGGATTCAACAACTCAATAATACCCAAAACTTTTGTATTCCACCAACAGCAAACATAAGTTTCTTTACATGAATGTCGGGTTTCGAAGTTGGTTGTGGGGATTGACCAAGAGAAAGCCACTGATTTTTGCGCTTCACATTCTCATAATGAATCCATGCTTTTTCAGATGTTAGAATTCTTCCCTAAAAATCATGAGATTTGCCTTTTTGAAACAGAGTAGGGCTAACGATAAGCTAACGATAGGCTAACGTTCTGTTGCCTTGAGTCAGTTCATGAGGAACCCATCTTCCGCAGTGAATTGTTTTTCCTAATTGATTTAAGTGGTTGTCGATTGTTGGCGATTGTTGGTTTTTGGTCCATCCCAAATGTGTCCACTAACTCACGAGTGGCAAGGGTTGGATTGAGTTCCATGGCATCAAGCAAATCTTCATCTGAAATCTCTTGCAGTCGTCCAGACCGTTCCTCGTCTTGGAGACTTTCATTTCCAGCTTTGAACCGCTGAAACCATCTTTGGCATTGTCTTTCGCTAATGCTGTCTTCCCCAAAAACTTCAATGATTGTCCGATGCGATTCAGCGGCGGATTTCCCTCGTCTAAAAACATACCACAAAGCGGCTCGAAGTCGAAACTTTTCGTCTTGCATTTTGTACCTGAAAATATTGTTAAATTTGTAAAAATTTTTAAAAGTCAAATATAATATGAAAGTATAGAGCGTCTAGCTGATATCTATTTGAAAAAAATCGCATATGCAAAGAACTGGAAAATTGCCAACAACAGGAATTCAAAACCGACATTACTTTTTCCTCAACCTAATAGATAATGGCGAACAGGACGAAGCGAGCAAAAGGAATTTAGTGCTGGCAAAAGCCGTGATGTTCTTCTTTCGGATGCGCGAAAAATGATTGTTAACTAAATTGTTTATTTTTTTGTTATTGTTTTGTTTAATATGTTGATTAAAGTTTATTCGATTAAACGATTATTTGAAAGCTGTTTGTCGAAATTCAATGGAGTAATGCTCTCGACGCATCAACTCAATTTCGACTCGTCAGAACTTTTCCCTATTTTGGTTTTTTTCTTAGCTGAAATGCATGCAAACTTTTGTGGGAATCAGATTTTTGATCTGTCGATGAAAAATTTGGGCCTGTTGTGCCCTGTGAGTCGGGTCGCGTCGCTCAGAAAATTAGCCTCTCACAACGACCTCGGATTCTCATCTCATTGGATAGATACTCAGCATTAGGAAATACAATGTAATTTCCCTGAAACGAACCTATTGCAGAGCTTCTCCGACTGGGCGAATGTGGTGAAATTCTACCTTGTGAAATAACATGAAGTCCCACTTCGAGCACCGGGAACCGCCGAAGCAGGGCAGTCAGCACAAGTGTGACACACGGATTCGCCTCCGTCTGGATTTTCTGCTTAAAAACTCTCTTCCCAGCGACTGACCGAGTAAAATCGCACCGATGAAGAATAATAGGAAATTTTTGTTTAACAGCATTTTGAAGTTCGAGAATTCTCTTGCCGTTTCTGCTTTTGAGATCGTTTTGGAGAGCAGCTCAGCGATAAGCTCCCCTTTTTACGGACTGAAAAAACTCATTAGATGTATCGACTTCTCCCACTCGTTTGGGTTCGAGCCCGACTGGATAATTACTCGAGCAAAAGGACAATACTGAAAAATAATACAAGGTGACCAAGAATTACCGCAACAACGTCGTATAATGTTATGAGCCCCATTTCACTTTTTGCTTACCTGTTTTTATGCTTTTTGTGTATTTTTCTTATTTTATGGTATGATTACTAACTTTCAATAAATTAGTTTCAATAAATGGTTGTTTTCAGGAATGGTGAAAGCGTCTCCATATCGACAATCGATCATTGAGCTCAAGCGGCAGCGTGTTCAGGCGAGATCTCAAATAATTGATTGAACCGTGTGATTTGATGAGAAATCACGAAACGCAACAGAATTTCTTTAGCAAAAAATAAATTTCTGAGAAGTGAGACAAATGAAACCTTTTTTTGCGCACCCGAGACATTTGCGCACCTTTTCACCCATTATAACAAAGACTTCAATCACAGAATCGTTTCGTTAGATTCCTATTGACGATTCTATTAGATTTCTATTGATTTCTATTTCTTTCAGGGACTAGCGTGACTGTTTTAAAACATACATTTATTGAAAACCAATAATGTGATACAAAAAAGGATACATAATAAGAGATGAAGGCTTTTAAAGACACGATTTCACTGTGCCCGTTGTTACCTCTATTATCCCTATTACTCAAATGTTGTAAAAGAAAAAACCCACTTAGGTGCGGAAAAAGAAACATTTTAATCTTGCGACCGTGATTGAAGCCTCGACCTTTCGCTTAAGAGACAAGACACCTAACCGGTCGACCATCTGGCCCTTTACTTTTTACTTGCCTCTTTTAGCATACTGTAAGTACAGTCGAACCTCTCTATAACGTAACTCACGGGACGGCTATAGCTTACGTTATATAGAGGTTTACGTTATATAGAGGTTTACGTTATATAGAGGTTTACGTTATATAGAGGTTTACGTTATGTAGAGTGCCGTTTTATATAGCTTAACGTTGGCCGGGACCGGTCACGCCTTACGTTATAGAGAGGTTTACGTTATATCGAGGTTCGTTATAGAGAGGTTCGACTGTACTACAAAACTGGCATTGCACTATAAAGTTACAATGTTTTTTTAAGTTTTACAGAGTTTTTAAATATTTTGTTGTTGCAAAAATTGAGAACTTTTGAGGGTTGTGGGGCACCTATATTTTTCGATTTTTTCACTTTTCTAGGGGTAATCGAGGATGCTGAGCACAAATTCGACAGTTTTAGCCTAGGTTTTCAACTGAAAAAAACGACATTTCGACACATTGAAAATTACCCTTCTAGTCGCTATTAAGATTAGGGGCAGGGGCACTTTTTTCCTTTTCAAAACCACTTTTTCTAAGGTAGTTTTATGCGTAGATTCCGAAAAACACAACGAGAACTTGAGAAATGGCGTTTTAAGCCGAGTTTCGGGGCTTCAAATTGCGCGCTCATACAGTGTGACACACATAGGAAAGAGGTCTGAAAAATGGTCTCTCAAAACATTTTTTGAAGCCAAAAACACTTTTTCTGGCATAACGCCTACTGATTACGTTTCTGATCAAATTGCAGCAAAATAATTTTTTTTTAAATTTTGACCATATGGTCCCCCACATGAGTCAGAATTGGTCAAAATCTCAAAAAAATATTTTTTTCAATTTCTTTTGCCTCTACCAGTCAATTTAAGTTAGAAAATGAATATTTAGTTGTTAAAAATGGTTTTGGCTCTAGTTTTGACCCTGAAAAGTGCTCAAATAGTCGATAGCTTGAGTACACAAATTTAAAGTGCAAAGTGTAATTTTCAACGTGTCGAAATGGTGGTTTTTCAGTTGAAAGCCTATGCTAAAACTGTCAAATTCGTGCTCAGCGCCCTCGATTATCCCTAGAAAAGTGAAAAAAATCAAAAATATAGGTGCCCCCCCCCCCCCCCCCAACTCACAAAGTTTTACCGAGTCAACTTCTTTACCAAAACTATTTAAAACCAAAACCAAAAGCTTTTAGAACCACTGAACCTTGAATCAAGAAGATAACACTAAAAAGGTTGAATTTAAAATTTGAGCTTTTATGACCTAATTTTGAGTCTCCCTTTTAACAAGGTAATCCTCGAAATATGTACAGTAAAGACACGTTTAAAGTTTTAAAGACTTTAGAACTTTAGAACTTCAAAAACTCGATAATATTCATAACAAACTTTTACACAAAAACACTCTGTTTCTATCAATTATCCCAGAAAAATTGAAAAGTTCAAAAATATTGGCTGCCAAAAAGGTGGCTCCCCCCCAACCAGCAATGTATTTAACATCGAAAAACAGAAATTTCCCTTTTGCGCGTGTTCTTTGTTATCAAAAATACTAAACGCGTCCCTTCTGGCGCACTCAACTCTTTGAATAAGTCAATAAAGTACAGAGGAAACGTTGAAACGATATGAAAATGAAAATTGATGGTATTTGTTGCTTTCCTGTTTTCTTGATGGTAGTTTTTTTTCGCTCCAAAGCATTTTATCAGTAGAGATTAAATCTCTAAAAACTTGCTTCAGTAAATTTTCTATTTGGAGAAAGTTTTACGGTTGAAAATGCGAATTGCGGATACTAGAATACTAGGATATTATCTGTACTAGAATGTTCTGTGTTCTGCTTATATTTCTAGCTTGCACTAGCTTGACCGATAAACAAGTCTATTATAAATATTTTTAGGCAATCGCGATCAAATCGTGATAACGACAAGCCGAATCTTTACGTTCCACCGGTGCTTCGGACGCTCGTTGTCTCGCCCATTCAAGCCGCCACTTACACTGCCACTGCTCACTGCCACTGCTCACTGCCACTTACAACGAGAAATCTAACTTGTAAGTACATTTTTAAAGCGAGTTTATTCAGAAGCTTTACATTTTCATATTTCATTGTTTAGAACGCGTTTTAAATACGAGCTCACTTGGACGGAAAAGATCGACGAAGAAAAGCCGATCCCTACAATGAGAAAAGTGGTAAGCTTTTCTTTCTTTGATAAATTAATAATCTTTGTTTTATCCCACTTCTATAACCTAAAGATTGTCATAATTTTAAGAACTCTATCAATTATTGACCTCTGTTTGTCCTGAGCCTGGCTAAATCAAGCTAAAGTTCTAATAATTGCAATTGCAATTGTGCAATTTTAGCTCTTTCAACCGGCAGTCTCGACGATGCCATTTCGTCGGCCACTTCCACGATTTCAACTCATTCGATGCTTTGCGTTAAAAGTGACGTGTTTATTTTGTTTCTTTAATCACTCTTCTATTTAGACGGTGTGAAATGTGATGGTCCTTGTGGGCTTTTTCATCAATCTTCTCAATTAATAGTAAATTTTCGTAAACAACTCTTTTTATTTGTTTTTAGAATGTCTGACGTTGCGATCATTACTTGTGCAAGGCGTGCTCGGGAATTGTCATTAACAGCGATGGTGAGGTTTTGGAAATGTTTGGCTTACTATTAAACTTTTCAGGAAATTGATTTGTTTATTTTAGGCTCAACTGGCTGCTCGAATTGGGATTGCTACCGCGGTACATTTACTTGGTTGCCGTCCGAGTTGTGCAAGAAATTCTACACTGAATACGTGATCATCCAGCAACAAACAAAGAAACGTCTTGTGAGTGATTATTACTTTGTGTTAAAATCAATTTTTAAGCTTTAGATCTATTCTTTTAAGCTATTTTGAAGCTATTAAAACCTAAGCTATTAAAACCAAGCTATTAAAACCAAGCTATTAAAACAAAGCCATTAAAAACTAATCTATTAAATCCAAGCTATTAAAAACAAGCTATTAAAACTAAGCTATTAAAAACTAAGCTATCAAAAACTAAGCTATTAAAAACTAAGCTATTAAAACCAATTTAAGCTATTTTTAAGCTATAGACCTATAAAGTTTAGTCTATTGTTGATAAAATTTGTAAATTGGTATAAGACAGCTTTTCACTCGTATATAAAAGTAATATTGTTTAAACTTTGTTAGCCAATTAATAGGATTTAAGTTTGGCTATCGACACGCGAAGCTAAGCAGTTAAACAGCTAAACAACTTCTTTAAGCTAAACATTAAAAGTATTAACATTTTCCTTTAGCATTCATGTTGTCGGGCCTTGACAAAAATGTTGTCAAAGCAAGAGATTGAAGCAGACGTGCGCATGGGGATTCAGGAAAACTCGAAACGAGCGACCAAGAAGCTCATCTCTCTTACCGGATCCGAAAAGCGGAAGGTACGATAGTTTTTAAAGCATTTTAGCAATGTTTTGCTTTTACTTTTAGACTCGAACTCCTAAGCCTTCGATTCAAATTCGCTTGGCCGTCATAGATCATGGACCGCGAGACAGTTTGAAGATCAAGCACATTGCGGTGGGGGAAATTTTTGCTCTTTTCGTTGACAAATCTTATCTTTTTGATTTCAGATCCCAGGAATTCCTTCTACCACAATTAAAGAAATTGTCGATCAACTGGGGGATCCTATGGTTAAACGGTTGGTTGTCAATTTGAAGCATTTAGCTTTTGATAAATCATTTAGTGGTCGTCTTTTTGTGATGAAGCGCATCGAGAAGAAGTTTGAGTTGTTGTTCAGCGCGCCGTTCAAAGAATTTCAGAAAAAGCGTCTCGATGAGGTACAATTATTATTATTAGACAACTTCAAAGTTGGTACACTTATTCATTGCACTTTTTAGAAATAACTAGTAAATCAACTAATCTACAGTTTTTACCAATAAAAAAGGCCCATTTATTAAAAAAATTTCATCGATTTTTTTGAAAAAGTGATGTTGCAAGACTTTTGCTCGGTACTGTATGTCGTATTTTTTAGAAAAATTTGTAGTGTTGAAGGGAAATTTAAGAACAGACGGAGACAAGAGATGTTATTGGAAACTTAGTTTACAAATTGCAATTTTTTACGCCAATTTCTTTATATAGTGTTGATTTCCTTTCTTGAAGCGTGTCTATTTTATTTTATTTTCTAATTCACAGAACAAATGGCGTCACACAAGTGTTTCCTAAAGATTTCCGACTCTCTGAAAGCCTCGCTTGACGGGAACCGCTTTTGAAGGGCCTCTAGGAGGAAAGAGTTTCCGGTCGACAAGTTGTGGTTTCCAGAAGTTTGATGGGCAATCAATCTCGTAAATCGGTGATAGTCCTCGTTTGTCACAAAGAAACAGCCATCGATTTGATCGATCTCAACAACGTTCTCCCTCGTTCCATAGTGTTGACCGGCCACCTAAATATGTAGGTCACATAAATTTCTGATAAATGGGCTTGCTTTTGAGCATTTTAACGTTTATTTGTAATATAAATATCCACATTTTAAGTCGCATAAAGGTATGATAAAGATTCGTGGTTTGTGATAAGATTCTTTTTAATTTCTACCTCATACTTACCGTTTCTATAATTTGAGAATAAAATCGTTTGATACCTTACTCGAGGATCGTTGTTTATTTATCACTGAGTTTTGAGGTGGGACCTAGCCTATTTTGTAGCAAATTTTTTGCTGATTCCGAATATCTAGATCGTTTGTGTGTAATGGGTTCAAATTTTCGATTCAAAAGTTCGTTTGAAGTTTTTGTGTAAAAAAAAAGTAGTTTTTGAGTGTTGAGCTATTATCTGACCACGCGAGTATCAAGCGATCTTGCGCTCTTCGAAGACAAGTCGTCTTGGCCAAGTGGTTAGTGCGCTAGGCTCTCTAGAAACTACAAAAAGCAAAAGTTTGATTCAAGTCCGGGCTCGAACCAAGGCCAAAAAGAGCCTAGGGTCTAGCGAGAGCCTAACGCACTAACCACTTGGCCACGACGACTTGTCTTCGAAGAGCGCAAGATCGCCTGATACTCGCTTGGTCAGATAATTAGCGCAACACGCAAAAACTTCAAACGAACTTTTGAATCGAAAATTTGAACCCATTACACACAAACGATCTAGATATTCGGAATCAGCAAAAAATTTGCTACAAAATAGGCTAGGTCCCACCTCAAAACTCAGTGATAAATAAATAAATAAACAATGATCCCTAGTTAGAAAATTGAAGAAAGGAAGAAAAAACTCTACCTTAATTGTAATGGGATCGTCTTTATCCAGAATTGTGTTCACATTGTCGACGAGACAACGCATAGCATGATTCGGAATGGGATACCCAAATTTGATGGCCAACTGCAGCATTTTCTTTTCGTCCTTCGAGAGGTGCAGAGCAGTGACGAGCTCATGCAATAGCATCTGATTTTGCTTCTTTTGTTGAATTTCGGTGTAGAAGCCAGCCAGAGATGCCTTCATTTCGTTGTCCTGCCTCTCAAATTCTCTCAAATTCGTGTTATCGCCTGGCTTTCGCAGCTCTAGCATGAAACTCGTTAAGTCGTTGCTTGTTTTTGTTATGTAAATGGCTTGACACGAAACGGCGACCAACTTCACCAACTCGTCTCCGAAATTCTTGCAAATTGCCGTGTTCATGGTTGCATTATTATCAGCTTTCACTTGTAGATAACTAGCAAAGTCGATGATGGTTTTACGGACGATTCCTTCAAGTCGACCAAAAGAGAAATTCGTGTGCAACTCGGGCATCATCATTTCACTGAACGGGGCGTTGTTCGTAGCGAATTCGGCCATCAAATAAGCAAAAGCGTTAACCGTTTTGCTGGCCTCAATCATGAATTTCTCTTCGGTTTCCCGACGAAAACTCATCACACTCGGCGCGACTTTCACAAATGATACAATTGCGTGGTTTGAAGATTTGAAGTTTGCGAGGTTTGAAGGAAAGGCGAAACGTTTCATCTCGGCTTCAATAAACTCGTGAATCTCTTTAGTGAATTGGATAAAGGATTTTTGATATGTCATGATCAGATGCTGTTGGAGTCTCTGAAAATGAAGTGAAAGTTTTTCTCGTTGAACAACACAAAGAAATTGGAAACCCTAGGATGTTTTCTAGAGAAAAAAGATTAATTTGTTGATAAATCTAAAGTTCATTCTAAAGTTCTAAAGAATCAAAAGGCATTTTGAGAAACCATTTCTTTCTCACTATTAGTTAGCTGATCCCCTTTTCAAAAACAAACAAGCTATTTACTTTTTCTTCTTAAATAGTATCAAATAGTCTATTTAGTAGTAGTAGTATCTAGTCTAACCTAGTTAATTCTCAATATAAAAGTTTGGCTCCTGTAACTTCGAGGGGGCTTTTACTTATTTCTCGGTTTTTAACGTTTTGCTCATGTGCTTGCTGGTTGACAATTACACAATTTATTGACAACAATAGGTAGCAACGGAGAGTGCTTATGGGCTTTCAAGTTAAGCACAGCTATTCAGACAAATGATCTATTAAGTTGGGAAGAGAGTCTTTGCCGATTTTTTGGGAGAGGGTCTTAAACTTGTCCGATCTGGACGTGTAATACCTCATTTGAAAGCTTGAAAGCTTCTAGCGAATTGAATTAAAAAACCGTATTTTAATATATCAATTTTCAAAGTTTTTGCAGCCGTTTTACTGAGCGGCGTCAGACCGTGAATTTCAGAAAAATGAATTTGCTCAAGAATGCTCAAGTATTCGAAGCTATTTCGCAATAGAGATTTGTGATTCTACATAGACGCTTTGATTAATAGAAGCTTTAGATGGAGAACACTTCAAATTTTGCCAAATGACATCGTCTCTTTTGGGTGATCCTTTAACAAACAAAGTTGAATACCATCGCTGTAGTTTTTCTCATTAAAAAGCAAAGAATAACGAGCTGAAAACTGAATTACGCCATCTCTTTGTTGTTCGGTTTCTTGCAGTCCTCCAAAAATAGTATCTAGTGTTGCGGGGACTCTATTGGGATAGTTGTTGACGAGGTCGATGGCTGGCTGAGGTTGAATCCCTGATAGTCGAACGGTGAATTTTGATGTTCACCCAGAAAGATGTTCACGTTAAAAATACCAGCTAAGACATGAGCAAAACGTTTAAAAACCGAGAAATAAGTCTAAAATAGTCAAAAGTCTCCTCAAAGTTCAAAAGTCCCCAAGAGCCAAAAGTTTTTACCCTTTGAAACGCATCATCGTTGTGATCGTCTTGAACGGCTGTGCTTCTTGCATTCACAAAGGTTTGAAGAATTGTGTACTCGTCAACCTTGTCTGCGGCTAGCTTTTTGGCGTAAAAACGGCACTGATTGTAATATTCATAGCTTTCCATAGCTGCTGTAACGAAGATCGACATCTTTTTGTAGATATTCTTGGCAAAGTTAATGACCGCATTAGCCGCGCCAGCTAGCATATCAAAAGCCTTTCCACCGAGCTGCACCGCCAACATTTTGGCGTCCTGGTAAAGTTTTTGGGCCACGCCACTTATCGCTACGGCCGCTTGTGCAGCTTTATTTCCGATCACTTTTGCTGTATCGGCTATTTGTCGAATTTCTTTATTGATTCCGGACATTTCGCCAACTGTAAACAAGACAGTTCCAGCAACCGAAGCAACAGAGTCATACGCCGTTTTCGCCGCATTACTCACCATCGCGAACGATTTGCTTTTAACCAGCAACTCGGTGATTTCCGCAGCTTTTTCCTTGACGCCTGCATAGACTTTTTTAACGTTTCTTGCCGTCTCGTTGATATTGTTGGCAATTGGGTCCACAATGTAATCGCCGACAAAATTGGCAGCCGTTGCACCGAGTTCATATGCATAACTTGCGCCGGTTTTTACAGCATTTGTCGCCCTTCGCCAACCGGAAACGGTGGTTCCAATGAGAATAGTGGTAAAATACCAGGACCTCGATTCATCAGACACTCCGACTATCAATTTCATTCCCTTTTCGGTCGTTTGTTTGATTTCGGAATTCGGCGTATCGTTGCGACTACGAATGTAGTTTTCTAAAGGCTTTAAAGCGAGGTGTTTTTCGGTGTGATTCAGCAACTTTGAAGCGTACTCTTTTAGAATCGCTGCCACCTCTTTGTTATCATCCATCTGATGGTTGGTGTATTCTTTTGCAACGATTCTCGGTGGACTGATGATCCCCTGGCTCTTTAGCTTCTCAAAGAACTCTTTGTGCGGATTTTCGGGTAGAAAGATAGAATGGTAGTAAAATTTGGCCCCTGTTGAGATAGTATTGTCAATGTCGACAGCAAGTCTTTCCAAAGCGAACGAGTAGGCGAACTTGTTAAAAAGATATCGAACAACATTGTCTGCGATTGCTGGCGGAAGAGAGGAACCGTCGAGGCGATTGTTGAGTCGGAAACACGGATACACGTACTCCACCAGCAGTTTTTCTTTAAGCAAAAACTGGCAAAGCTCGCTCAATTCATCAGGGTTCTTGATTCCAGTGGAATGACTCAACAAATGCAGTGTCACATTTCGAAATTCTCGATTCCCGCGTAGTTTTTGCAATGATTTTGCTACTCGACGCATCAAATGGGGCGTTTCTCCATCGTTTCTCCATCCAAGCAACTCCTCGTTATCATAAACCGGTAGCTCAATATCGCTTTCTTCTGAAATCGGCAAAAATGGCTTCATGGTTTCCGCCCATACTGTGTCATCTTTTGTGAAATGTACCCTTGTCTCATTTTGATATTCCAAGATTCCGTGTTCTTCCAGATTTTTCAGAATCCACACAGAGGACTCTTTGCTTATTTGAAAATACTCAGCGAGTTCGTGAACGGAGACACCATCAAATGCAGAAAAATATGGTAAGTTGTAAACCTGTTGTAAATCTAATTCTCCAATGAATTCATCAAGCATTTTCCGTTGTAGAGACACCGTTTTTAGGTCTTCATTTCGATAATAGAGACGATTTTCCTTAAAGCTGTTGTTAAGCAAAAGATAGTGACCCTGTTCTGGTAAAAGAATGCTGTCAATCTTTTTCTCCTCGATTTCATTTAAGATCACTGTCTCGTATTTCGGATCAACGTACTTGAGATGTCGGATATTTTTGAGCACTCCGTTTTCTTGCAACTCTTGATAGAATGACTTTCGATTGGATAATAAAACGTTCTCTTCAAGTTTGCTTGTCAAAGCAAGAGAAAAAGCGTTGGATTCGTCAATTTTTGACATTTCCCGGTTAAGGTGCGCAATTTCCGGATCTCGGTAGTAGATTAGGCTGTTTTCCTTGGCCTTTTTGACAGAATCAAGCACACTTCTTTTCGACAGTCCAAAAGCTTCGTGCACGTTTTGGATCATCCAGTCTTCGGGTTGGTGGTTCTGAAAATAACATGGAGAGATGATTCCCTCTTCCTCCAGTTGCTCGTAGATCTCAACGCTGTTGACTTTGGAAATATTGTCTGTGAAGAACATGTCTTTATGGCACGGCTTGCCGATTATCCAATCAATGTTTTCTATAACCATTCGCAAATTTTTGGTGACAGCCTTGTGTTGCTTTTCGAAGCCTTTCGACTGAATCAACGAGCTCCTTGGTTCGTGCATGTTTTGTAAAGCCAAAGCGCTTTCTCTCTCGGTGACCGCCAACCGCGAATCGAAGAGGGCTCGAGCCTAAACCTTTCATATTGCATATTGTTTCATTTATTTTCAATTAGTTTAAATAAACATGTTTCTTTTTAGAAGAAATCAGTAGTAAACCTTTTACCATGATATTAAAAGCTCTTAAAAAGCAGTTTCTTTTGCTTAAAATATAGGGTCTCCCAAAATTATGGAGCTGTTTTGACAAATTTATTGTTTTATCTCGTTCTTTTTCTTACTTATTACTAAAATACTTTTGTATTGACTTTTTTCAAGATGAAATCACAATTGGATTTGCTTGCGACCAGCCATGGTTCGACTCTCACAGGATGGCAAATCGGTGATGAAGATTTCGCGGCTTTTCCACGTGCCTCACCAGACACTTTCAAAAGCATTCAAGCCTCACAAAGAGACTGGGAAATTGGAAGATTGATCAGAACGCGGTCGAAAGAAGATTGACAACAATCCAATCAATCGTCGAAAGATCTTTCAACGAATCCAAAGAAACCCGAGATCACAGAAACGCGAAAGATGGCTGATGCAATTGGAATCTCAAAGACCACGGTGCACCGAATTCTCTAAAAAAACACGGAATGAAAGCACGAAAAAATGTAATCGGACATTAATTAAACGATCAGATGAAGCAAAAGATAGTGGACCGTTGCACGAAACTTTTGAGACGCTTTTGGAGCGAATCGTCATCGTGAGATCCGCTTTATCGATGAAAAGCTCGAGAAACGCAAGATTGGATTGCAAAAAATTTTACCGATTGGATCACAGTTGACATAAGAGCGCAAAATCCAGGAGAATTGCCAACTCGCTGGATTTGAATGTTTTGAATTACAACATTTGGTCAATCTTGCAGGCCAAGGCTTGTTGCAAGCCTCACACATCAATTCAGCCTTTGAAGAAGGATTTGGAGAAAGCTTGGGGACGACATTGGCATGGAGGTCATCAAAAAGGCCATGGATGACTTTCCGAAACGATGACAAAAATGTATTCAAGCTAAAGAGGAAGACTTTGAAGACTAATGTTACATTTCTATTGTGTTCAATGATTGTTAAAAGATTTTTAAGATATCTAGAAAAATTTCTTGAAAATTAACACAAGATCAATGATCGAATTTTCGCTCCATAATTTTGGGACACCCTGTAATATTGTTACTATAAAAGCCTACGTCAGTAAAGACTTACGTAATGGAAAAATTTTTCGGCTGTTTGGAGACACGTTTCTTGTTGCCCCTCCATTCCTTTCATCGGCATCATCAAGCAAGCTTTATAATAATAAGCTTCGGCAGCAAAATAGGCATCGGTTCGTATGATTTTGTCGTAAATTTTATTTGCCTCTTTAATTTTGCCATCGCGGAGAAGGAGTAGCGCAAGAGAAAGTTGCGATTGGGGGAAATCGAGCCACTTATCTTCTGCTAATTCCAAATCCATTGAATGCTCCTTTAAAAATTTCTCCACTGAATCGATGATCGATTTTTTCTGTTGCTCTCTCACATCTTGATTGTTGTTTTTTGAGCACTGCTCAATTTCGCCGCTTTTCTCATCTAGCCACAGTGCCCATTTGTCGAGTAAAGCAAAATAAACAATTTCTCGTTGGCTTGGAATTTTGTTTTCTGTGGTTTTTGAAGAGTAGACTTCGGTAAGAACATCGCTACAGTGTTGTCGGAACTTTTCAAGGCATGACTCCTCAATTTCTGTGTGATAGTCGTAGAAAACTTTCAACTCGGCCAAACGTTGGACTTCCAAATTGTCGCGATACATTTTGAATTGGAAAAATGACGGCTTTGCACCGTCATTTTCTCGAAGTACGGCAATGATTTGTGCCGAGCCAGGCTCTCCACACCGAGCCGCTCGTCCAAAAGCCTGCTCCTCGATGCGGGCATTTCTTGGCATGAATGCTAGAATCACATGTAAACCGCCGTTTTCTTTAAGTTTCTCACTCAATTTGATATCTGTGCCCCGACCGGCCAAGTTTGTAGCAATTAGCAAACGTCCCGGCTCCAACGCAGCCTCACCTTCGAATCGAAACTCGTCATGACTGCGCAGGTACATTGTGATATTCGAAAAGCAACTCTCCATTAGCGGGTCTTCGTTTTTCGTTTCATCGATTTTATAAAACACAGCCAACTTTTCCTTCAAAAGTTTTGCTTGAGCAATCGAGTCACAAATAACGAGAATTGATCGCTCTGACTCCAACTGGTCGCAAATCTTGTCGTAGATGGCCTTGGCCCAATCGGTGACTCCGGTAGTGATGACGGGGCAGTTCTCGTAAAAAAGTTTTCTCTTGAACGGTGGAATTTTAACAAGTTGTGCTCCGTACATCTCAATCAGTGTTTTGCTCTCGTGTTTGGATCCAAGCGTTCCACTTAGTCCATTGATAAACTTGTAGCCTTTGAGATAGGCAACATTTGACATAAAAACCGCTTTTAAGCTGATCGGAGAGAGGTGGCATCCATGTTTGAGTTGAATGAATTGATGTAATCCGCCAGTCCACCGAGTGGTAGGCAAATCGGCGCCTGTATTTGAGTCAACAATCGTGACTAGAGGTTCAAGTAGTGACGAGGCTCCAGTTCGATCATTGTCGACTACATAATCGTGCTCTTCTTCCATCTTGAGCGCTTTTTTGCAATTGTCAACAAACTCCTCTAAATGCGATTTGAAGAACTTTCGCAGAAAAGTGGGCATCTGGATTGCGGATTTTTGGTCTAAAATGATGAGCAGAGAGGCTACAACGTTTTTCACCAAGAAAACCGGATACTCGCCTTCGAGTTGAGCGAGCAGCCCAATTTTCGTGCGAGAGTTTGTTAAAAGAAAGCCGTTGACGTCGAGAATTTGATTTGCGACTAATCTATCGAAAAGTTTCTGCAATGTTTCTTCCTGTTCCCCACAGCTGCTCAACTTCAAATCGTTCATGGAAAATCTTCCGAAAATTTGCGTCAAAATCTCCGTGACAATCGTTTCAGTGCTGTGCTGTTCTTTTATCTCGTCAGCTCCCTCGTTTAGTCCATTGAAAATCGGCAAGTGAACGCGGGTGAAAATGTGGATGAAGGCCGATTGCAGAATGTCTAAGCAAGGTACATCATGAGACAAATACAGAATGTTGTTCCCGTTATCCAGCAGCATATTGTCTACTTCATCGACGATGGCCACTTCTTGGAGACGATTTCCCAAAATCGCCTTCTTGTAAAAGGTTTGGATTAGGTAGTCACGCTGGAAACTCTGGATGTCACCGTAGACGATATCGCCTTGATAGGCGCGTTTTCGGTCGTCAATCCTCTCCGAGCAGTTGTGGTCGACCGTTAACCCAAACTTCTCATAGAGTTTCTTCATTGCTTCAGCGTCTCTCATTGCTAAAACCGGTGAGCTCGTGATGATATCGACACGCATCTTATCTCTTTTGCACCGCACCACAGCAATCGCCGCAATGATGAGTGATTTGCCTTCTCCCGTGTGCACTTGCTCTAACACATGCCGGTCGAGCTCTACCGCTAAAAGGACGGCAAGTTTTTGGGTGTTGCGTAAGGTCATTCCGTTATACAGTTTTTTCAAGCATTCATCAAATTCGGCTAGGATTTCATATGTACCCGATGGTTGAGCGCCATTCTGAATTGCTTCCAATTTGTCACAAAATTTGTTGACTTCTTTGCTGACTTGACGATCTTCTTCTGGATCTCCGTTTATGCCAACAACCAACTTCTTCAATTCGGAAATTGTTCTTGGTTTTGACTCATCCGAATAATCGGACTCCGCGCTAACCGGAGTATCATTCGAATATGTGGCCAATTTGGACTGTGGTAGATCGTATTTCTCGTCGGCATTACTGTCTTCTGAGTCCGATTCATCCGATGATGGGTATACGGTTTGTTCATAAGGTGAACTTCCCAAATATGCAAGGAAACGATTTTGTTTTTGCTCGTTGGTGAGCAAAACTGCATGGTGGTTTCGCAATTCGACCCATATTCTATCCAGATCATTTTCTTTGTCGTCCACCCAATTTTTGCCACCCATTAACCACGTTCTGACCTTTTTAAGCATGATCACATTGTTCGAAAATTCTCCGCTGCAAATCCAATTCACCCAGAGGCCAATGATTCGTTCGGGCATGTATCGCACTTTCTTGAGCATCTCTCCGAGAACCTTTCGCTCTTGCTGGAACCCATTAGACTCGAGCACGCCTAGATAGTGGCCAGCTGGGCCAAACTCTTTCGTCATTGAGTTGATCTCAGACCAGGTTTGCTTTTTTGCAATATCGATCCACATGTCAAAACTCAAATTTTCGAGATTTTCAGTTTCGGTGGCTGAGTGCTGTAGCATGAGAAGGGTTTTGTAAAGCACCTCCGTTGAGAGCTTTTCTTTGTATTCCTCGAGCTTTACCGCAAGCAAAATTTTGTGTTTCGGATTTGCAATATCCTTCAGAGGATTGAAAATCTTGCTGTCAAACCGTTTCCCAAAATTGTAGCACAGTCGAACATACAGCAAAGCGTCCACGAATTTCGCTTGAGGCACGGTATTCAACGCACTCAAAAGGAACAATGGATCGGCTCGATATTTTGTTTGAAGATAAGCAAAAGTTGACAAAACGAACTGCAGCTGCAATAATGTCAAATGACAATTGTCGACAAAGAAGCGGATTTTTAGAAAATTCAAAAGCCCCTGATTTTTTGTAATTCCCAAAAAGCAAGCAATCCATTCGTCCACTCTGAACTCTAGTTCATGCTCGAAATATTTAGTAATCAACGGTAGTGAGTCCAGTGGCTTAAAAATTGTCATAGCTTTACTGCAAAGGTCAACCATTCTTTTTTGTGCTGCGATGAACTGTTTGTATGGTAGATCAACCTCGACCGAATAGATTGATGGACCTTCTCGTAAAACTTTCAGCATTTCCTCTATGGGTCCTGATGGTTTAAAGTCAAAAATTTTTTGTAAACGCTTATAATCGCACGGTTCATAAACGGTGATTTCCATGTTGTCCTTCAGTGCTTTCAAATAAAGGACTGCCAATGAGGATAGTCGCCTAGAGCGCATTGCCTTCTCGCAGTCTTTGTTGTCGAGTGAGAAATTTTTCGTTTTGAATTGAAGAACGAATTGTGCAAAGGAAGGATCGTCTGAATCGTTTACGAACTGGATCTTTTTTGGGAGGCTCCCAGTGTCGATTCGTGTTAACAAGGTGCAGTTATAGAGACGACGGTAGAAGGTGAGCACCTCAAGCGCTATGAAATAGGTCTTCACGAGGAAAGCGGTGAGTTCAATTTTTCTTTTCTCATTTTCTTTCATCTCCTCGAGTTTTTTCTGCTTTTCATCTTGACTCGAAAACATCCCTGAAACTTTTTCTTTCCCGGCATCGTAAATTTTCCGCGCTCTTCCTTTTTCGGACAAAATCTCGGGGAACGTGCCATAGCGCCTCAAGCACTTCTTGTTCTTTTCAAAACACTCTTTTAACGGGCTGACAATTTCAAATAGGAGATCCAAATTCTCATCACGAAGCAACTGCACAATTTGCTGTAGTCTTTCAATTTGTTTTTTTGAAACTTTCGGTGTGGTTTCGTTGACCATTTCCGAACTTTCATTGTCGTCCGTTGATTGTGGTTGATCATGGATGGAAGTTTGCTTTTGCGGGCTCTTTTCTAAATCAGTTTTGTTTTAACAAGATACAGTAGTGGTCAAGAGTTTGGACCCACACCTGCGTGCTAGCAAAGAATGGCTGCTAAACCAAAAGCTTTTAGTACAGTCATGGACAAAAGTCTTTTAACATTGGTTTTTAGAAGTTTGTTCTTTGTATATCTTGGTCCAAATCCGAGCAATCCGAGCAATGATAGCTAAGCGCCGGAAGCTTTGTCTCGAGTTTGCTAAGAAGTATCAAAGTTGGACGTCGCACGATTGGGCCAATGTTGTGTTCACCGACGAATCGAAAGTCAATCTTTTCGCCCCTGATGGCAATCATTTGATACGGAGACCAGTCGGACAACGTTATAACATTAAATACTTGCGTCCTACAGTTAAATTTGGTGACGGATCGATCATACTAAAATACAAAGGTTCGTACCCCATATGGGGTACGAACCTTTGTATTTTATGCCTACTGATTTTCTGATTTCTGAGCAGTGTCCAGAAATTCACTGGGTTCACTCGCCCTTCTGAACTTAACGCTGAATGCTCAACGCTACAAGACGATTCTGGAGAATGATCTTCTACCGTTTTCGACCGCAAATATGGGCCAAGGTTGGTTGTTGTACCAGGACAATGCCCCGTGCCACAAGTCACAGCTGCTGATGGGACGCCGTGTTATTTGCGCAACTCACCATAACTTTTTTCTAAGTGAACCAATCTTTATGATTTTGGTTTCATTTTGTAGATCTCAATAAGTGCAACAAAATGACACCAAAATCATAAAGATTGGCAGAAGATTGTGAAGTTTGTGAAGTCGAAATTGAAGGGGAAACTATTCGGATCAAAAGTGGAGCTTTGGTACTTCATGCGTCGAGTCTGGACAACTATTGGACCCCAAATTCTACGTGATCTGGTTGACAGCATGCCAAGGAGAATTCAAGCAGTAATTGCGGCTCGTGGAGGACCTACTAAGTATTGATTTCATAATGTTTTTCTCACATGTTAAAAGACTTTTGTCCATCAATTTTTGGCCCAATTTTTGTTTTATCAAAAAGTTCATGACACCTGATAAATTGTTAAATCCATCTTTTTGTAATGTTAAAATTGGAGATAATAAGCTCTTTAAATCTTTTAACCGTTTGCAAATTGCTCGGATTTGGACCAAGATATACAAAGAACAAACTTCTAAAAACCAATGTTAAAAGACTTTTGTCCATAACTGTATATTGTACCCAAACCAACATTTCTATTACATTTTTTTTTTCTATACTTTTCATATTTCGTTGCTCTTTTACTTAAGCGCCTAATTATTTTTGATCTTCGTGTGTTTTTCCTTTTCCCTTTTTAAGTGGTCAAAAATTTGGACCCACTTTTGAAATCAAACCTTTTTCAGGATGCCGGCTCGTAAGAACTTGTCGGAAGATTTAAAAATGTCGTTGTTAGCACAAATGAAGGCTGGTATGAGCTTACGAAAGGCTGCTCCCATGTTTGGCTTGGCCGATCCGGCAGCCTGGAAGATCTACCGCAAATGGAAACAATTCGGATCAGTGAAGCGTCAAACGGTCATTGGTAGACTTTCAAAAGTGCCCAAACGAACAGCTAGGGCTTTTGGTAAGTGATGTAAAGAAAAGATAGCAGCGGATAGCAGCGGATGTGAGACGAGAAGCTTCATCTACCCTGGGAATCAACATTTCGCACAGCACTGCTGACTATAGAATTGTTTGTTTCCAGAAACGCATATTTTAGTAAGGCTGAACTAAAGGGATCTCGACCATCAAAGAAACCTTTCATTTCAAAGAAAAATGTTGCTCGTCTGAAATTCGCCAAAGAACACCTTAACTGGTCGATCGATGATTGGGGACGAGTCTTGTGGAGCGATGAGAGCAAGTAAAACTTGATCTCCAGTGATGGGATCGTTACGTTCGACAACCAATCAACCATAGAAACAATCCGAAGTACCAATTGCCAACGATAAAACATGGTGGCGGTTCTGTTCTTGTTTGGGGTATGGCTATCTCAAATCATTAGTAAACAGGGCACATTGAGGTTGCTTCTCAGCCGAAAGAGTAGGCCTATTAATCCGAATCAATGGAAGTATGAATGCGCAAATGTATCTGGATATCGAAGAACGAGATGCTTCCGCATGCAAAAAAAACAATGGACTCGGATTGGTTATTCAATGAACCCAACAATGATCTCAACATCCGTCACGATTGGTCAAAGACTGGCTTCTGCAAGAAAACATTGAAGTTATGAAATGGTCAGCACAAAGCCCAGACTTAAACCCGATTGAACATCTTTAAGAAGAGTTAGATCGCAGGATCCGATCAAAAAAGTAGTCGAAGACAGCCAAGTTGATGCAGGCTCTACAGGCAGAGTGGATCAAGATTCCAGTTCAAAAACTTGAAGCCTTTATCGAATCAATGCCTCGAATCAATGTGCTGCAATGATCGCTTCTAAAGGATATAGAAATATTGATTATCTATTGTTTTTTGTTGATATTTGAGTTGTTATAAATTGTTTTACAAAACTGGGTCCACATTTTTGACCGTTGAAAAAAAGGAAAAGGAAAACACACGAAAATCAAAAATAATTAGACGCTTAGGTAAAAGAGCAACGAAATATTAAAAGTAGAGTAGAAAGTGTAATAAAAATGTTGGTTTGGGTACAATATACTAAAAGCTTATGGTTTAGCAGCCATTCTTTGCTAGCACGCGGCGGGGGACACCAAACTTTGACCACTACTGTAAAAGATTGATTTGGTTTACGTTATTTTGAAAGTCTAAAAATTTTGTGGCGATTGACCAAAAATTGATGATAAATTTTGTAAAGATCAATACTAGAAAGCCATTAAAAACAAGTATTACATTATTTTGTTCTGTGGTAAAAAATTAAATATTTTTCTAGAAACGGAACTTCGAATCAAATGCTCCCAATAATACAAATCTAGCTTTTATTTACTCTTACCTTTGTTCTCATGTTTCTCGTTGTCTTCGGGAAGGAACGGAGTCAAGTAGCTTTTTCCTTCGTTACACCATGTAATGCTGTCATTTTTGAGCCTTCGATCACAAATCCCTTTGATCTTTGAGAAACTTTGCGAAAATTTCAAGTAAAAATTTTGTAGAGCATAGAGCTCTGCAGGTTCTGTGTGATAGATTTGGGCGTTGTGCGAGGGTCTTCTAACTAACTCGCGCAACTCATCATCGTCGACTTCGATAACTTTGCCCTTTTCAACGCCATCCAAGTAGGGTCCATCGACACATCCAATGAGTTGATCTTGACACTCGACCTTGAAATTTTCCATCAACAATTCAACAGTATTTGCGGTACTGTGCTGACTTTGTGCGACTTGAAACTTTAGTTTGCGCCGCGAAGAAACCGTTTCTGCAAATTCGCGAATCTCCGGGCAAGTTTTCCCGTTTTGAAGTTTGCTTTGACCAATGGCAATCAACCAAAATAAAGTCGGACTTTTGACTTTCCCTCTCTTATCTAGCTTGGCACAGCGAAGGAAGCAATCTTGCTGAAAGACACTCGGGAAACGAATCGTTTTTAAAAGTTTCCACTCAATTTCCACATCGAATAGGTTAAAAAGGTTTTCAGCGCTAGCTTTAACTGTGACTTTCTTGCCCGCGGCTTTGATAGTTTTCACAAGTGATTGAGAGTTTATCGGTGCTTTGCGCTGTTTTGAACCTTTTACGATATACTCGGAAACGGTTGTCTCATTCGGTTGTCGAAGCGTAAGCATTTGTTCTTCTTCTTTGTTTTTCCCTTGCTCGTCATCCCTTTGATCAAAAGCATTTGCGCCGGTTTCCACAAAAGTGGCCTCTCCGTCAAAATGCTCGCGAGCTTTTTGTACAATGTCCTCGGTGAGAATCGCGTTCTGTGCAACTGCTTTTGAAAATTGACTTTTTTGCGTACGACTTAACGTTTCTTCGATGACAGGTGCGACTATTGTGTTTCCTACAACAAATTCAATGAACGGATAATCTTCTTGCAATTTATGTCTTTTATACCCAAAAAAGCGTCGTTTTTCACCGTCACAACAATTGTACTCTTCCATTTTTAGGCTGCACGAGTAGTCACCAATTTCGTGATAGCCGTTGATGATCCGACTTCTATCGATAATGGCTAGGTCGTTGCCTTGTTTACCATTTGTTCCAGCTTTGCCAACATCTCCGTCTTGTCCGTTTTTGCCCATTAAACGGATCGTCTTCAGATCAAAATGTTGATTAGTCTCCGGATTGATGCACAAACACTCTCCCTTGTAGCCGCCCTCACCACCGACTCCATTCGCTCCACCTCTAGTCCCTCGCTCTCCCGAAGAGCCACCGATTCTAATAAACAAATGGTATTGCGTCAAGGAGCACAAATAAAATTTGATGGCCGCATAGTTGAAGGTGAGCGTTCTGCTTTTCGCGTCGGTAAACGTCTTGTAAACGTATTCTTTGTTGCTGTCGTAGACGTGCTTTGTTTGTTTCCAATCGACTGGGGCAAAATTTTCGAAAATAGACCACGGCTGCAAGTAGAGGCTCTTATAAAATTTGAGCTTGCGCATCTCTTCCCACTCAATTCCATGGCCATTTTTTCCTTGATAGCCGTCTCCTCCACTCTCGCCATCCTCGCCACGGCCACCATTCAATTTCACAGAAAGCAACTCGTCCCCAATCTAAAGTTTCTTTTTAAAAAAATTAGCCCTTTTATGCTAGTTCACCTTGTTAAGATTTAAATAAAAATTGAAGGCTTTCCTTTGAGAAAATCTGCCACTAAAGCTAAACCTTTAAGCGGCTTATGTCCAAAATGCCGAATCGACCAAATTCGGTTACATTCCCGTCCATAACTCACTCAAAACAGAACATTTTTGAATTATGTTTCTTGGTTTAAATTCAGCATAGAATTTTACATATAATGCTATATTTTTGTAATAGTTGAGCAAATAGATTTTTTGGAAATCGAGGTTTTAGTGAGTTTTTGCAGGGACTTTGAAGTTTTTGATTATAGTTTCTTTTTTAAATAAAAAAAGACTTCTACACCAATATATGTAAAATTTTACGCTGAATTCAGATCAAAGAACAGAATTTAAAAATATTCAGTTTTAAGTAAGTTATGGACGGAAATGTAGCCGAATTGGGTCGATTTGGCATTATGGGATTCGACATTTTGAGCAAACCCCCTTCAAGCGCAATGCCTTACGTTTATAAAATCGATTATAAAAAAATGTTAATTAAGCTGAAAAAAGTTAAAGTTAAAGGTTTGGATGATCTAGAGTTCTTGATCGCATTATCATGGAAAGCCACTTGGTTCACTATTAGATTGTCCCATAAAAACCCGGAAATTTTTGTTTTGATCAGTACTCGCTCACAACACAACGTTTTGCATTTTTCTTTTTTTTCTTTTTCATGCTAAAACTTTTTTCTTTCTTGCACTAACATTCATTTTTTAGGGATCGATGCGAGGAGAGAGTTGCAGTCGATCGAATGAAGCCTCGAGAAGAAATCTACGCCCTACTGCTCCAACGATTTTCAAGAGGGATTTCAGCGGCCAAAGCAGCACGAAAAATCAATCAATTTTATGGCAACAAAATCGTTGGAACGAGTACTGCATAGGAATGGTTTTACAAATTCAAGACGGGCAACACGAGGATCAAACGGAAGAGGGTAAGCGGCCGACTCCCGGAAAATGGATCGATCGATTCTGAGGCACCGACTCCTGCGAAAACCCGATGGATCAACTCGGAAATTGGCTGGACGTTACTGTGGACGAATGACTGTGTGGCTGCGAAAAGATTGATTATTTCGTTGTTTCTGTTTTGAAAATAAATGAAATTCAAAATCTCTGGGTTTTTATGGGAGAATCTAATAAATTGAAATATTAAAAGCTTTATGTAATAGTAAGTATAAAAAGATTCAATAGGACTATGTGGGATTATTCAGAAACCCACAATTGCTCTTGCTAAGATCGTCAAATTTCCGCTTGATTCTCCGGGACGACCGTCTTTTCCATCTTTGCCGTTCTCTTGAGAACTCGTCGCGTTAGAGGCTTTCGGTTTTGTAGGCTTTTGTGGAAACGATTTTCCCGAGAGATCGATGCAACACTTTTTCCATACACGCATTTTGCTAGCACAAATCACCAAATTGATCCCTAAAATTGATCATTCAGAAACATTTGAGTAGAATGAAATGATTAGATCGCAACTTACCTGGAAAAACAACACTTTTTTCAAGCGAGAGACAAATATCGGCATAGATTTCGATTTGTCGAACTCCGCCGTTGATTCCCTTTTGAAACTGTTCGGAAAATTCTTCAAAGAAAAGCATTCCTCCTTTCAGAATTAGCTTGGTACCATTTCGTTGCAAAGGCAAAGGCTTTCGCAAGAGGTAAACTATAACGAACTAACGTTAAAAAAACTCTTTTCTAGAAGAAATATAGTAAGAAATATGACAACGTACCAAGCATTTTCGAGAAAAGGGCTGGCTCCAAAAAGTCACTGGTTTCGATTTTTGCGGCCAATGACACTACTTTGTTAATAAGAATGTCGTCACTCTGCGCAAAGTCGATCCACGGTGTTTTGAGAAAGTTTTCGAGCTGACATCCATTTGCATGCCATCGTTCAATTTGTTGCCAAGTTTTCAAATTCACGCAGCCACTCGTTATCCAGTCTTTCAACGCCATTCGGAACTCGTCCTCGACTCCCGGGTACACAAAGACTAGTATTTGATCGTTGAAGTAACGACGAAAGAGGTTGAAACATCCTAGATCGCGATTGAATGTTTTTAGGTGTCCGATTCGACGGACCACCTCGTCGAATTCGGAAAAACCGTCAAAAATCTCTGTCCCTTTGTCATCCCGAAGTTTCTGCAAGGTGTTTGCGATGAAATCCTTATCTTTACTTTTCACAAAACGAGCAATCAAATCCTTGCCATAATGTTGTAAAATGAGCTTTTGATGTTTGATGTAAAGCTCGCGTAAACAGCTTTCGATAGCTTTTGGAAGACATTTCACCTCGACATTGAACATTTCGGCAACGAGACTGCTGTAGGAAAGCCATGAGTTCCCATAGACTCGTGCCGTCACACCGATTTCCAAGCTTTCGGGCGTGTAGATCACCATTTGTTCGACGATCAGAACATGAAAATAACCCTAAAAGATGATTAGCACTAAACTCCTAACTGACTCGATCACCATAAACAACAGGTTATAAACCTTAGAAAAGACTTTCAAACATTGTAACAAATTTATTTTCACAAAACAAAGTGTCTTTTGTTGCTTCTTTCCTATTGTCGTTTGTAGATGCTTGTTCCGAAGCGGCGCCGGCGTGGCGCTATTTGTTGATCCAACTTGTCCATAGTGCAATATAAGTTTGTTGTCCAATCTCCTCCATTGACGCTTCCATTTTCCATAAGCATGCGCCTTTTACCATCGAGATGTTTTTCTAGGTGGTTCTGATGAGCTTGCGTGCCAAGAGATGGGCCAATGCCCATTTCAAATTCTGCTAAATAGTTCTTGTAAATCGCAAAACCACTCTGGCTAATCAGAAGCTCCGGACGGCGAGCCTTGATCTCATCGCTTGACTTTTTCACGTCAACAAAGAACTTTTTGGCGAGCTGAAGAGTGGTTTCGTCATCCAAATAAAGTTGTAAATGCTCTTCGATTTCACCATATCCACCTTGGGATGTTTTTTGCTCCTAAAAGTGATTAGATTTTATGCTTTCAATGTTTATCTCTTCATCTAAAATAAAAAACTTACCAAATATTCAATAAACAGTTGCATGGCGTTCCGAAACTCGCTTTGTGTTAAAGTCAAATCTGACAAAACGAGCACGGAAGCCTCGATGAACAAAGGAGCTAGCTTCATTTTGTCCAAATACCCAGCAAAATGCTGGAGATCAGAGTCGATGAATCCAGCAAATGGCTTTTTACTATGTGCTAAGATATCTTGATAGCTAGGAACTCCATAGAGTCTCTGCAGTGTCACTTTGATCGAAGTAATATTTTTTGTTTTGGTGATTGTTCTAGGAGTTTGATCTTCTACTAGTTTTGCTCCGTCTTTGTATGGACTTGGCTCAATAGACGTCTCGTCAGTTTCAACACTAATCGTTGAAGTATCAACGCCACTTTTCTCCTTGGAAGCTGAAGTTTCTTTATTCTTTCCATCATTGAGAGGCGAAATTGTGGCGTCTCCTTGGTCATTCCTCAATGGTCCTCGGTCATTCCTCAATTGGTCGCTCACTTCCCGTAATAATCTCATGCCAAAAGTCGATAGTTCGAGTTTGTACAACTGCTCGTTCAATTCTTTTTGCCGATTTTGATCCGTTGTCGTAGCTCTAAAATTTGTTCACTTACATGTTTTAGCTATACGTCTAGTTGCTTTAGAAGATCTAAGCCTACGCCTTAAGATTAGTAAAACTATCAAATAAATTGAGCCACAAGATCACCCACTTTTCTTGTTCAATTCGTTTCTTTTCAGCGTTCATTTCATCCAACGATTTGCCATCACTAATTGCCAGTTTTCCCAGATCAAGCACTCTGCCGAGGATTTCTCGAGCATCCTGGCCGGCGGCTGTCGAATCGAAACGACGATTTCGCACATAGTTGAGAATTTGCTTCACAAGGTTCACCACCGGCTTTTTGACTGCTTCGATTTCCTTATTCTCCTCCCATTTATTGATCGTTGTCAATACAGTGCCATTGCCGGATAAACCAAAACCAGTCATTCCACTCAAAGGCTCTTTATTCTCAGTACTTTTCGAGATATCCACAACTTCGGGTTTTTCTCTAAGTCCCAGAAAAATGCAAAATCTTTCGAAGAGCGAGCAGCTATTTTCAGCGGCTTTTTTCGAAAACATTTTGTCAATAAACGCCTTGTCTTTTTGATTTAGATTGTAGATTTCAGGGGTGGTTTCTGGATTCCCGTTCACCGAGAAGCCATTTTGATTGAATTTGGCCGTCGATTTCGTTTCAAGCAACTCAGCATAAAAGCCGTCGATGTTGTCGATTCGATAGAGGTTTTTGATGATGAAACTCCTCTTTTGCTCATCGAGAGTAGTTGCTTGTAAGTCTTGCTCGAAGCGATTCCGTGCCTCGTTTGTCTAAAAGTTGTTTATGCTAATTTTTATTTTTATATTTGTTTTATCCGTGTTTTATTCCAAAAAACACCCTAGTTGTAGACTCACTTTAGCCAACTTATCAATTGAAAAGGTCAAAAGCAGTAAGCTAATTCAAAAAGCTAAAAAACGGTGAAATAACGTAAATGAACCCTTTGAAATGAAATTTCTTTGAAAATCCTTTTCAATAAAAACTCGCCATGAAATGATTACGAATCTCTTCGGTGATATCTCTCTCGACACTCGCAAAGAGGCTGTTGAGGGTCCACGGTCTGACCAACGTGTTGGTGAACATGAACAACGAGAGCGAAAAGGCCGATACCTCGTACAATGATCGATAGGGATTCCATAAAAGATTGCAAAACGAGAGATAGAGACTGCGAGCGCCCGTCACCGCGGATAGCAAGCGAGAGACCGTATAGAACCAGTTCTCATATCGATGTCTCCCTAAATTTTTCGCTTGTACATTCGAAATTTGGAATTAGAGTCTTTCCAGATTATAATTTTAGCAGCCGAAAAACCCGCCTAACGGGGGGTTTTTCTGGCTGGATGTTTTGCGACGGACGTGTAGTTTGCTCTGGGACAATCGTCGGACAATACTGAACGTCGGACAATACTGGGATCTATCTCTTAATTCTTCAAAGCAATATCGGAGGATATCAACCCTGATACCCTCCGCAGCAATAACGACAGCTATACTGGGTGCTAGCGTGTGCTCCTTGTTGACAGACAATTTGTCAGACCAATTTTGCATTGAAAACTTTTTTGTCAGACAATTGATCCGACAAACTTCCGACAACGCGTTTTCTAAAAGGTGCGCTTTTTAAGCCGAACTATAAAATGTGCAAAACTTTCTTAAAATGTTTTATTTAAGGATTTAGGTTTTTTAGGGCGTGGAATTTGTTTTTGAATAGTTCTAGTGCAAATGTAGACAATGGGCCTGGTAAATTTGTAAATAATATAATTTTTTAATAGTGTTTCTTAACTTTCTCCGTTTTAAATGTTTTCTTTAATTTTACATAGCATTTAAAAATATTTAAGTTTTAGCGGACTTTTGACATGAGCTGCGACGAAAATCAAGTCTTTCGCGCGGTGTCCGACTTCAAGAAATGCGGAGGACGACCATTTTAAGGTATTTTTTTGCTCCTCTTCAGACTTTTTAAAACAAATTAAACAAAATTGTTTTAGGGTTGTTGATGTGGACTCTCTTACGCTCGTCAACTTTCATGAAGACTAGAATAACAAGGTAAAAATAAAAGGTAAACGTTCTTTATAATTCCATAGATATAAAACCTTCCTCATCACTAAATTCTCCCTCAGACAGTGATTTAGCCTCCAATGAGCATCCCGCTAGGGCCATTTCCGTTAGGGCTAACTGCTTTTCTTCGTACAAAATAGATGGGGGATTCTTGATAATAATGCTAAATTTTTTAAAACTCAAACTGAGTAAAGTAAGACCTAGCAGAATTTGTAAGGGTCGTAGCGAGGAACAGCAATCGCTCAGAGTCGGCTGTCAATCTGCTTTTTCGAGAATCGGATGCAATTTTGTAAAGCTATAACCATACGGGGTTTTATATGTCGTAGCCGATGAAGGATTTCAGCCGAAGAAGTCTTAGACTTCTTCGGCTAGCCGATTAAGTCTCAAAAATAAAATCTTGAGTTATGTATTGACTCAAGTCAATACCACAAACTCAAGCTCTCTAAAAGGCGCTTAAAAGCTAAAAACGCATTCTAAAGAGTGCGCATTTTATCATACTGTAACCAAAGGCTATAAAAGGACCCTTTTCGTCATTTTCTATCTGATTCGTCATTTATTTTTTTTTTTTCGTCATTTTCGTCCTTGACTCTGCGAGTGTCGAGGACGATCATGCACTATTCGACCGCTTGGCCATGAGTTCTTTGACCTAAAAGCAAACAAAATAAAGCGTCATAAAGAAATTCAATAGGACACAAAAGTAAAAGCTTACCAATCTGTTGGCAAACTCCTTTCCGTTGTCGGACTGAAGAATTTTTACGGCTCCAAACGTTCCGAATATTTTCATTAGATGATCGACAACTTCAAATTGTGTTTTCCTTTGGACTGCCCGCAAAAAGACGAGCTTTGTGAAATGATCCTGGTAGACCATCAAAAACTTCAAACAAAAACAAAAAAACATCGGGAACAGATTGAAGATCGATTAAATCAACCTGGCACCTCTCGTTGAAATCCTTTGTAACAATTGGCTTCACGACCATTCCTTTCTTTGATGTTCCTTTTTTGAGCTTGCATTCTGGGCACAACTTGACAAAAATTTCGATTACTTCTTTTGAGATCCCATGATAGTCTCGTAGTCCTTGCCACGTTATATTTCGTCCGGTGTGCCCAAGTCGTTGGTGAGTGGTCGTTAACAGGCCAAAGAGCTCCTCTTTCTTGACGACTTTCTTAGGTTTGTCCAAATCGCCTTTGGTTCCATGATTGTAAAGCACCTCTTGATTCAATTCGTATCGAAGATTCGTTTCATCGATGATCCAACAAAAGGGTCAAATTGACTTACAAAAACAAACAAATCTATTTCAAATAAATGACGAATCAGATAGAAAATGACGAAAAGGGTCCTTTTATAGCCTTTGGTTACAGTATGATAAAATGCGCACTCTTTAGAATGCGTTTTTAGCTTTTAAGCGCCTTTTAGAGAGCTTGAGTTTGTGGTATTGACTTGAGTCAATACATAACTCAAGATTTCATTTTTGAGACTTCTTTGGCTACGACATATATATGTTATAGGTAAGACCAGGGTACCGTAGGGAACTCGGAGCGATTTTTATGCCAAAATTTGGATAGAGCCGCGACCGCGTTTCTAAGTTTTTCCACCGACTGTGACATGTCTACCTCTTCTTTAAATTTCTTGACTACATTGTGAATGAGGTGAATGTGGTACAAAGCAATTATAAGCATAAAGGCAACTATCACTAGAATTTACACTATTACTGGGAGAAGCATCCATTTTTCTCTCACAATCACACGGTTTTCTACGCAGTACTCTAAATAGTAGGAATTACCAATTTAACCTGTTTGAAAAAGAGAAAAAACAAAAAGTTAAGGAAAGAGTAATAGAAAAAAAGCGCATGATTTTAATGGACATTTGCATTTTGAAAAATTGGCTGATACAAAGCATAGGGTTACGGTAGCTTATATTTGGTGCTCGCTTTTTGGAAAACGCGTTGTCTGCAAGGAACACACTCTACTGGGTGCGCTCGGCGCGACTAACGTCGTCCCCCTTCCCTTCTGAGATCCCTATAACAATACCTTCGCCCTGAGGCAACCCAAATTTGCAGACTTCAACTCCATGCCTAAAAACATTTAAAGCAAAAAAAGTTTCAAGCGAACCCGATACCCCCTTGAAGCAGTCGTTTTGTAGACGGGACGCTAACCGCCTCGACCATCCCCTCTCCTCCCAAGCGCCGCCGAAGGCGAAATGGGATTTTTCTGTGGTTCTAAGTGGTTTTTTTTCTGATTTTTCTTACGGATTTTTGACGAAAAACACTTTTTGACCAAAAATTATGTACCTATTCACTTTTAATTCGCTATTGATCAAAAAAAAGTTTGTTGAAATCGGTCCATGTGGAGCCGGGATCCAGAATGTGACGGACGGACACTTCTCTTTTATATACGGGGTGACCAAAAATTACTGCAACAACTGTTTGGAAGAGTATCTGGGAAATGTCTAATTTATTGTGGCAAGTGTTATACAGAGAATTGTAGGCCTAATTCTCGGCAACATTTATCTACCAAAAACATCCCGATTGAACTTATACAACTCATTTGACAAGCGCTTGAATGAGCGCTAATTGAGATCTCTCCGGCGAATCTGTCATTTGGCCACTTTTCTACATGAAAAAATTTCATTCGGAAAAGTTTTTTTTTGTCCAAAAAAAATTGTTTTCAACAAATTCATAGCGCCAGAACAGTTGATATAACGAGATACGCATATAAACTGAATATCGAAAATACTCAATTTTCCCTGCTCCTCCAAAAGGAGCTTGACATCAACTTAAATTTTGGTTATGCCAGTCCAGCCAAAACATTTAAATGTGATTCCTAATGTTATTAAGTGATATTAAACGCTATTTTTGCATTGAAGAAATATTGAAAGCTTTTCTTAACATTTTTTAATAGAGAAAAGTGGCCAAATGACAGATTCGCCGGAGAGATCTCGATTAGCGCTCATTCAAGCGCTTGTCAAATGAGTTGTATAAGTCCAATCAGGATGTTTTTGGTAGATAAATGTTGCCGAGAATTAGGCCTACAATTCTCTGTATAACACTTGCCACTTTTGAAATAAATTAGACATTTCCCAGATACTCTTCCAAACAGTTGTTGCGGTAATTTTTGGTCACCCTGTATAGTAGAATAGTTCAATGTAAAAATTTAAAATTTCAATTCGAAATCTAGAAGTGAAACAATAACAATTTTTTTTTAGCTCAAACTTCAACCATGAAATTCGTACCCTTTAGAAACTCGGCTGAGGTATTTCCACGATTGAGTATCGCATTTCGAGCCTGCTGACTATAATATTCTTGCACTAAGCAGAGAGTCGATGTGATGATTGTAAAAGCTTCGCCCTCAAAGTTCTCGCCTCGTTGCATCTTTCGATAAATTCCGCTGAAATGTATAGCCTAATTTTTTGTCTTGTGGCTTTTAGAATTTTAGACATTTGTTTATCGCAAAAAAAAAATGAGTGCCAGTCCGCTCATGAGAAAGCCGGCTTTTTATGATCTTTATCAGCTACGAAAGAGTGCTAAAAACTAAACAAAAACTGGGAATCATTTTAGTCTTACTGTAAGCTTGTTATAAAATGCTAAAAAGTAAAAAGATGACACAAGGTAAAAGGTGCCAAATCGTGAAATATTTTGAGTAAAATCGCTACAATTCTAAAATCTTAGTGTTTAGAGATACTGTTCAAAATCCTTATAGAAACTCATTGTACCATTTAATGATCATTCTACGATTTCTATGAGCAAATATACTTTTAGCTGTTGCAAACGAAAGCTCGCTGATCTTGAAAATACTTTTTAATCATTTTACAAAATAACAAAAAGCTTGCCTGTGAGCGGTATCGACCCAGGGAGCAAAAATGCATAGGAAAAACGCACACTAACCACTAGGCTACAAGGCACTTGTTCGGCGCGTAATTGTGCATTAAAAACTAGACGGGAAGAAGAGGGTTTGTCAGATATTCGCAAAAACCTTTCAAAAATCATGACCTTTGAGGCCATTTTTCTCAAAAATTTTGTCCGTCTGGTACACCGGAGACCTACTTTTTCGGATTCAGGAAATTTTTTTCAAGAAAATGAGCGTTGTCTTTTGGCTGGGGGCGGTATCTGTGTGCACCTCTAGTTAGGGACAGAGGCAGACCAGTTAAAACTTACGAAGAAATCCTTGAAAGCGGCACTTGTGACTCTCACGAGACAAATTTGCATCGAAAGGGTTACATTTACATCAGAAAACACGTAAAAAGATCAAGGAGACTATATCAAAAGAGCACCGTTCAAAAGAGCACCGTTCAAAAGAGCGCCGTTCAAAAGTGCGCCAATCCAAAAACGCTCAAAAGAGCGCGACTAGATTTTTGCGCCCCAATTTTTTTTTGTTGATGTTTTTGCTGGTTTTTTATGTTTATTTACAATTTTATTTGTTTTTAGGCAAAAGTACGACGGGGAATTCGAATTTGCCATTAATTTTGGCGGAAAACGACCGGCAAGTCAAGGTAAGGCGCATTTTATCAAAAGAAATATTTTTTTGTGGCTTGTTTACATTTATTGTCTACGTTTCTAAGTTTAGGTAAAGAAACCAATCTACAATCGCCTCACATTTGCTCTCCTCATTGGACAAGAAAGTTGGCTATCAGAAATGGCACTTTAGGAAGATCCGTACTGAACATCTTAAATCTCTGTCATTTTACATCGATTATTGTTATCATTGTTATCATGTTGTTATCATTTTTGTTATTCTATTGGGTTGCTAAATTGAGAACTGCCGGACTTTGAACTAAAATTCATTCAACATAAAACCATGAATTCATTCGAAATAATTTCCATTATTATTGACGACTTCTGCCCATTTTACAGGCAATTTGTGGATTCTTCTTTCGTGGTAGGATTTTGGTTTTGAATCGAAAAATTTTCAAAGCCAATTTTTGATTGCTTCTTCCGAATCGAAGTGTTCTCCCGCAAGCTCATGATCTGGAATAAATAGTAATCAAAAGGGGCGAGGTCCGGACTGTATGGTGAATGCGCTAAAAGTTCCCAAACAAGGCTATTTATTTAGAGCGAGTCAGTTTTGCAACATGAGGGCGCGCGTTGTCGTGGATCAGAACGATCTTTCACTTGGAGGGCCTATTCTTCTTCAGGGATTCATTCACCTTTCCCAACTGTTCACTGTATTTGATTGCATTAACGGTCGTCTTGCTATCCAGCAACTCCTAGTACACCACTCCCTCCATATCCCAGAAAACGCAGAGCATAAACTTCTTTTGGTGCAAATCGGGCTTAGGGTCACTTTCGGGTTTCTCGCCTGGCCCCACCCATTGCCACTTCCTCTGGAAGTTCACAGATAAAACCCATTTCTCATCTCCTATCACAATTCGAGAAAGAAAAGATTTCCTTTTGTATTGTGAGAAATAGACGGCACTGATCGAGGCCACTTCTGGGGGTTATTGAGGTCATGGGGCACCCAAGCCCCAAGTTTCGATTTAAATCCAAGGGTATGAAGGTGCCTTAGCACTGTAGCATGATCAACCCCTAACTCTTCTCCCAATTCACGCGATGATACCCGATGGTCGTTGGTAATGAGTTTGAGTAATTTGGAATCATCCAGTTGGGGTGCCGCTCCACGGCCCTCTGCATCTTTCAAAGATTTGTCCCCAGATCGAAACTTGGCAAACCATACTCGACACGTTCTTTGGGAAGATGAGTACTCACCATATATCTTTTTAACATTAGCAGCTGCCAAGCCTGCACTGTGCTCTTGTAGGAACACATGAAGCATGACATGACGAATATGTCCCGGTGGCAGATTGTCGAGTGCTGCAATAGAAGAAGTGAAGAAAAATACCAAAAAACAAAAAGCTGGATAATAATTTTTTCGTAATAATTTGAGGAAATGTTGAAGTAACCAAACCCCCTTTCAGTTGGTTCAATGCTGTTGTTTTTTTATCTGCGAGTCCCGCGAAATAGCCGGCAGTTTTCAATTCACCAACCCAATATTAAATTGTTAAAAGAATTATTTATATAAATATTTGGAATCAATACAGGAATCTTAAAGAAAAAACAAGAAAAAAAAGTTAAAACGCAGTTGGTGGTTGAATTTAATCGCTCTTTTGAGCGTTTTTGCATTGGCGCCCTTTTGATCACGGCGCTCTTTTGATATAGTCCCAGATAAAGCAATGTAGGTTTTACAAATTTGATTTGGTTTTTTAAATGGTTAGAGTCACAGGTATCCCAGCCTACAGTGACAAGTGACTTTTACGTCCATCATTGTAAAAGTAAATTTGAAAAAGTGGTCCAGAGTTGCGAGTACCTTGAAAACTCACATTCCAGCAAAAGCGCTTCCGAACAGAGAGGTGATGGTGGTGATTGCACGGGCGTATTTCGTAGCCGAGTTCACCGCTGCCGATGCTCTCAGCAGGGCCACCGCCCAAAAGGATCCCTGTGTGAAGATGCGAGTGCTCATCGTGGCGAGTGCTCGGCCAGCCAGCAAGCAGCCCGGTGTCCAGAACATAGCCGCCACCGAGGCAAACTTCAACACCACGTTGGCGACGTTTGCGATATCGCTTGTGAGAGTGCAACTCGGTGACTCGCACACCTTCAATTGAACCTGTAAATGAACATTGCTATTTGCTATTTGTCCAATAGAAGAATTGAAATTCAAGCTCACAGACTATTCGTGTAGTTTTCTAGACTTACCTGTTGTTGAGCATATGTGGCTTTTTCGGGATAAACGATAACGCTCCGCTCCAGCTTGTTGTTTTCGAGGTAACGTTGAAATGACTGGTAAATCGTTCCCGGGTCGCTCAAATCCAAAACTTTCTTTGACTTACTCAGCTGGAGCACTAAAATTCCACACATTTTATCATCATACATAGGGGAAGCTATTGAAAAATATTTATTCGAGGCTATTATAGTGGATTTTTGCTATCGAATGATAAAATTTGTTTATTTGCTTGAAAAATATCTCTGTTTTAAAATAAAGAACAAAAAAACCTACGCGGGATCTCCAGATTGCCGAATTCGCCCTTTGTTTCACTCGATGTCGCCTTTTCTTTGATGCCAACCGAAACGTAGAAAATGTTGAACTCGATTTTGTCCAATTTTCGGCACTCCTTTTTGATCTTTTCCAGCATGGCTCTCACCGGTTCCTTTTCTTTCTTTGAGTAGTTTTGAAGGAAATTTGCGTGACCCTGAAGAAAACGAAAATATTCATGAGGCTATTTTGTAAAACTTTTGTCCCACAAAATAGCATCCAGTCGCTTTTCCTGGGGGATTTTTTACCCAATCTTGCTTTTGCAGTGATTAAAATTTTCCCATGGAAATATCCAATGTAGAATATTACATAAACGTTTCATCAACCTTCACCAAAAGACTTCCAACAACTATTAAGCTTCCTATTAAGCTCCGATTCGGTTCCTATTAGGTCCCCATTTGTTTCCTATTAAGCTCCCATTCGGCTCCTATTAGGTCCCCATTTGTTTCCTATTAAGCTCCCATTCGGCTCCTATTAGGTCCACATTTGTTTCCTATTAAGCTCCCATTCGGCTCCTATTAGGTCCCCATTTGTTTCCTATTAAGCTCCCATTCGGCTCCTATTAGGTCCCCATTTGTTTCCTATTAAGCTCCCATTCGGCTCCTATTAGGTCCACATTCGGTTCCTATTCCTTTCCTATCAAAGCCTGAGACCAACTTGGTGGCGGGTACCCACGCGATTGTCACATTCGTGCCTTTTGCAAAAAGTTAAACAATAAATTGCGTTAATATGCTCATACTGTACAGCAAATTAATGATTTAATGATTTTTCCTGCCAAGTTTAAAGAAAATACTCCTTTGTCAAAAAACACATTTGTTAATACACATTTCTAGCTGAGAGTCTCTTAAATAGGGAAGCCCATACTTAATGCGCACGCTTTATATCTAACCATCTTTTCAGAATTTCGAGTTCAAAAGTTTTGGACACCCTGTGTTCACGTGATAAAACAAACCGTTTTGATGCCGTAGCACATGATGAGCAACTTCAACATGATTTCCCTCTCTTCATGAAGTTCAAAAGAGAAAGCCTCAGTGGTGTCGTTGTCATTATAGTGCCCCTGTTGCACCTTCATGACAGTGTTCTTTATCCAATCTTGTAGCTTTCCATCTCGCCAATCGTGCACGTCGAATGTCGTCTCCGGACTTGTTGGAAGGAGAATATTGTCGTGGCTCATTCCAAGAAGTCAAGAAGAATGCGAAATTGCAGAATTTTTTCCTTCTCAATCCCTAATTCTTGTTATCAGCCTGCAATCAAGCAAAAATTGTGCAGCAAAAAGTGGGCAATTTTTCATTATTCCCTTATCAGTTTCCAAAAAAACTTCACATATTTTGTTCATCAGCAAATTTCAAGGGCAAAAATTGAAGAATAGCAAAAAAAGCTCTATGCCAAAAACAAACCCGTTGAAGTTACTGAACAGAACTATTACTAAATTTCTTCAAAATAGTTAAAATTTGGCATGCAGAGACAGTAATTTTCCATCAGATATATAAATATATAAATATATAAATTACACTCTATCCCTGGTCGATCCTAAATAAAGTTTTAAAACCCAAACTGGGAAGCCAACAAAAAATTGTCGAAAATGCTTATTTGAGCACGATTTGCAAAAACGCTTTCTGCAAAAACCACAGGACAGAAATTAATGAGTTTTTTTTGCCCCGAATAAATTGACATATGTCACAGTTTGAGCACTTTCTTCAAAAGAAACCCATTTTGGTGTCAATAGAAAAGTTGTAGAGAATCAAAAATTAGGCTTATATCCAAATTTCCAAAAAGATACACTTAGTAGTTTCGCTTAAAATGCAAGTTTTGTTGCAAGTTTTGTGAAAATTCGTAAATTTGGCATTTCTTGAAAACTAGTTTTTGAATCGTTCTGAAAATTTGGCTGTAAGCCTAATTTTTGATTCTCTCCAACTTTTCTATTGACACCAAAATGGGTTTCTTTTGAAGAAAGTGCTCAAATGCTCAAACTGGGAAATCCCGACATCTCCCGTCCTCCATTTTTGCGTCTCACACTTGTCTCACACACAAACCAAACAAACCAAAATCCTACTACGAAAGAGGAATCCGCAAATTGCCTGTAAAATGGGCAGAAGTCGTCAATAATAATGGAAATTATTTGAAATGAATTCATGGTTTTATGTTGGATGAATTTTAGTTCAAATATCAAAAAAATATCAAAAAATGATGTTAATATGAAATGCTCATCTAGCTGAGCTCCATCCAATAAAACAAAAATTGTGGAAAACAGACCATTGGAGAAAGAGAAATGCGACGTTTTGTCTCACGAGCCAAAAAGAGCCGATATCTTTTTGAGGCAGCAATATTTTCAAAATCTGATTAGAGATTCGGATTCAGCATGAAATTTTACATATAGGAGGTGTATTTCGGCGCTAATAGCTTTACGAGACACCCCTCGTCCACTAGGGAAGTAACGCAAAAAACGCCTCGTCGCGAATGTGTTAAACTCGTTCAGAAAATCACCTGTAATATGTCGTATTTTTTTAGAAAAATTTGTAGTGTTGAAGGGAAATTTAAGAAAAGACAGAGACAAGAGATTTTATTGGAAACTTCATATGCCAACCTTTCCGTTTCCAACCGCTAACCTTTCGGGTAGCGCAGAAAACGTCAAGAATCCACTAGAGCTTCGAGATCAACATCATCTATAGATAATTTAAAGGTTTCGAGACTATTGGACTCTCTCAAAACTCTGGGGAGTCGATTTCAAATGGCAATTCTCGCAGTTCTTATTAGAAAAGAGTTATACACAAACTGATTAAAGGTGGCTGGGATTTCTAAAACGAAAGAACCTCTCCTTGAACTAACCGTGGGATTAACAAAATTTCCTCATATCATAGATTGTACAGGGTGCGCCATAATTGTTGCAACAGTATCACGCGCGTTCAAGGACAATAATCTATTGATTTAAGCTTCATTTCTGGTTTTTTGTGTTTTTATTTTATTTGGAGTATAATTGAAACTTTTCTCATATAAAATGCGATTTTTAGAATGATTGGAGAATCCCCATCAACAATCGATCATCATGCTGCAGCTGATGACAATCGATCATCATCGATCATGCTGACGTACAAGCGAGGAGTCTCGGCGCTGGAGATTCATAAGCGTCTTAAAGTCGACAGAAGTTTCATTTTCCGCACTATCCAACGCTAGAAAACTAAAAACGAATGTTCATTGGCTTATGATTTCGACTCAATTTTGATTATTTAGTGTATAATAAAAGTTCTTTTGTTTGTTGAGTGGGAAAATGGCAAGAATCGGCTAGGGATTCTATTCAAAAGACTCTCCACCATCGCTCTCCCTTTCACTCGCTCTTTGTGCACTCTTTGTGCGCTCTTTGCATGCCCGCGCAATCGTTTCCCATCTGGCATCTGCTCTTTCCATAACCCACACCCTTTCGCCCCTCATAAACTTACCTGGCTGGGAGGCTCTCGTGTTCATGAAGACGGGACCCCCATGGCGAGGCTCGGCCATTGCACTTTAGGCTGGGTTGACCTGTGTGGCAGTCCCGAGTTGGGATTCGCTAACAGCTAAATTTTTGCGTGAGGGGCTGCGTTCGCGCGGCCCTGCTAAAGAAAACCGATAAATTGATTGGAGATATTCCGATGATCATTAAAAATAGCCATTTCTCGAAACCAACAAAGGATACAGTAGTCAAGTTGAGAAATCATCGAGGTTCAACCTTCTTTTTTTGCAGAGCTCTCGAATTTTTGCATCTTCAAGGAATTCTGCATTGGGTAAAAGAAAACGAGGACTTTTGTTTTAATAGAGAATGACTTAGAGAAAAGGTATCGCAAATTTTAAATGTTGATTTTTGGCACGACGTCGCATTCGAATTGGCGTCACCACCATTTGGAGATAAAAACAAAAACGATTTCGTCCTAATTAGGACACAACTTTCACACGATGAAAGGAAAGCAGAAAAATAATAAAAAGAAAAAGATCAAATGAACAACAGTTGTCTTATATAGGCTTTAACACAAGATATTCAGCTAAGAAGGTACAAAACAGTGATTTTGGGCGCGAAATAGAATGAAGGCGCAAGGATTTCCGCAATACTTTTCCAATTTTTAGGCTGTCAGAGTTACCGTAAATACTGTAATTGGACCCCATGGGGTACTATTTTTTCCCTCCCCCTCTGGGGTGGGGTACTATTAGAGGGTGGGGCACTATTAGAGGGTGGGTTACTATTTTACACCACTATTCGAGTTACCAAATCAGGAAACATTCAAATAATTTGTTCAAAAGCAAACTTTTTCTTTAGTTTTTATTGGTTTTAGCCATTTGAAAATTTAACAGCAAAACGAAACAAAAACAACTAAGAAGTGAAATCAATAGAAACATCCGAATCAATGAATTCATCATTTTCTTGATCATCAATTCCTCGATGTCCTTGAAATCCCGTCGATGCGAGCGGCTCCAAGAGGCCCTTGATTTCTGTCTCTGTCCGAGCATTTCTCATCGCCTGTACAATAGATTAAAGATAATAATTAAAGATAAGTCCACCGAAAGAGCGTTACAAGTATTCCGCCCTGATCTCATTATTGAAGCACTTGCTTTTCTTCTCTTTCCAACAGAGCAATAACTTTGATTGGAACTTTGTCTCGATTTTTTTCGTTCATCGTTTTCCGAGGCACCACGACAAAAGGGCGTAACTTTTCCCCATCGGAACGAGCAGTGACCATCACGGATGTATTCATCTTGTCGTAGCCGCGGGTGAGAACACCAACTTCTTTGGCTCCAACCGCTTCGACGCACTTGCTCGTCGAAGCATCCAGCCAAACCGCCGTCTCATCGCAAGCAACAATGGGCTTGTAGTCGCCTTCTTTGATTGTCTTGTTCAGCCTCAGAATGTGCTCGACGATAGCCCTCACAAATTCGCTCGGCAGCTTTTGACAAGTTGTTGTTGGTGCCCTCAAAGAAAGTTGGTGGCGCCTCAAGAACGATTCCATCCAGCCATGGCTTCTTTTGAAAGAAATTTCAGCTTTTTCGAATCGATTAGCCGCTTCATTCCAGATAATCGTATCCATTCAGCCAAACCGATATCAATCCCCTCCGAGTTCAAGTGGCTTTTAAGTGGTTCCAGTCTTCTAAGTGGGCCAATCTTTATGATTTTGGTGTTACTTTGTTGCACTTGTTGAGATCTACAATCATAAAGATTCGCCAACTTAGAAGGAATTTATGGCGAGCTGCGCAAAAAAATTGGGCGCAAAGTAGCCACTCCAAATTTAAAAACAACAAATTTATGGAATAAAATTAAAAATACAAACGATTTCTGAAAATACCTGAAAATTTTCCGCTTTAAAAGCGTTGTTTTTAATTACGCGTTGGGTGGGGGTGGGGCACTATTAGAGGGGTGGGGTATTATTTTTCCCTTCCCCCTCTAGGGTGGGGTACTATTAGAGGGGGGGTACTATTAGAGGGGTGGGGTCCAATTACAGTATTTACGGTAGGTAACTTTTTAGTGGCTATTCGTCACAAAAGCCTCAAAAGATTTGTTTTTTTTCAAGATGAAACTATGAACCTGGAATGGGCATAGAAAAAGACGATTCTTAAAAAGGAAACCATTCTATTGTTATAGGAAACTTGCCGCTTTATCTATTGGGTTGGTGAGTTGAAAACTGCGGGACTTTGAACTAAAATTGATTCAACATAAAACCATCAATTCATTCGAAATAATTTCCATTACTATTGACGACTTTTGCCCATTTTACAGGCAATTTGCGGGTTCATCTTTCGTAGTAGGATTCTGGTTTGTGTGTGAGACAAGTGTGAGACTCAAAAATGGAGGACTGGAGATGTCGAGATGTCCCAGTTTGAGCATTTGAGCACTTTCTTCAAAAGAAACCCATTTTGGTGTCAATAGAAAAGTTGTAGAGAATCAAAAATCAGGCTGATAGCCAAATTTCCAAAAAGATACACTTAGTAGTTTCGCTTAAAATGCAAGTTTTGTTGCCAGTTTTGCGAAAATTCGTAAATTTGGCATTTCTTGAAAACCGGTTTTTGAATTGTTCTGAAAATTTGGATTTGAGCTTAATTTTTGATTCTCTACAACTTTTCCATTGATACCAGAATGGGTTTCTTTTGAAGAAAGTGCTCAAACTGTCACATATGACAATAGCCCGCAGCTTTCAATTCATCAACCCAATAAAAATG